GCAAAATGCTCATCAAGCTTTTTTTAATGTGCGACGTAAAAATATTTCCAACAGTACACAAACTACTGCAAATATTTGTAACATTGCCTGTAACAACTGCCGTTAGCGAACGCTCTTTTTCCACTCTGAGACGGCTAAAAACGTACTTGCGAAATACTACTTGCGAGGGTAGACTAAATGGATTGGCATTATTAAATATTCACCGAGAAATAGTAATTTTAGCGGATGAGATTCTTGATGAATTAGCCAAGAGTCCAAGAAGACTTGAGCGATTGTAGGTAAGTAATGTTATAAGTACTTTTATCTGTTTGCTGTGTTTGTTGTAGTATTGTTATTGCATCTTCTGATATATATATATATATATATATATATATATATATATATATATATATATATATATATATATATATATATATATACAAGTTTTGACACCCCCCCCCATGAGACGATCCTGGCTACGCCACTGGAAATGTCATCTAAACAAAATTATTAATATATTTTTCGTGGGTATACTATTAACTCTTCAAATGTGTGAATTTAGGATTCATAATACTATCACCTAAAAGTGGTTTGAATTGTGTTAGATTCGCACTTTATAATCCCACTCCAGCACCCCCCCTCCCCCAATCCTAACGCCAGACTGAAACGTAGTTCCCAAAGTGCCTTTTTTAATCTAACTAAAGTGGTTGACCTTCTATGGTGAAGAGATATTACGGGTTTGGGGGGGGCGAAGGGGTGGGGGTTGAAATTTCTTTTCAATTCTAGTTAATAATAATTTAAATCTAGACGGTGAAATGTAAAAAAAAAATTTCCTAATTCATCTCACGATCAGTTCATTGTAATTTTCTTTTACCAAGCATATTGTTATGCTGTGAGAATATACAATGTAAACGCATTTTTTTATTGTTGACAGCATACTTGCTTCAAAAGAAATAATAAGTAACACCCTCCCCCTCTCATGAATTATATGAAATACCCACCCCGTATTCCAACCCCTCTCCCCGCCTTCATACACACACATTCACACACACACACACACACACACACACACATGACACATTTTAGTCCTTGCTATATCATTTTCCATTCCAGTGTGTAAAAATAGAATTCAGGTTGGGGTGGGAGTGGGTTGCTAAACATTTTTTATATGTTAAGAATCAGCTTACAGCTGTTTTAATTTTGTTTGATCATAACTCATAACTCATGCGTCCTCCCCCCCCCCCCCCCACACACAAAGCCCCATAGTTTTTCTGAACGTGGTAAGGTCAATGTGTTGTATTTTAATCTAACTAAGCTGACGGCCCACCTTGGTGTAATTTACACATGTGAGGTGTGGGTGGGGAAGTTGACCATATTACCTCCCTGTATGCCGTGGGCATTTAAACCGTTGACTTCCGCTTTATCTACCCCATGTTTCTTTTACATGAACGGAAAGAGCGTATTTTCATATTGTTATTTATGCAAGGCCGGCGCTACCTATAAGGCGAACTAGGCAGTCGTCTAAAGCGCTATTCATAGGAGGGGCGCAAAAATGTACAATCGACATTATTAAAAAATACCTAATAATTAACCACTCTGATTGTCTTATATAACCTATAGACAGGAGTAACGATCTATTAGGGTGCCCAGAACAAACTATCAATGTTACGCCTTTTCCTCAAATTAGGCCTATATATTAATACATAATATTAGACCCACCCACACGGCTCTGTTAATATAATAATATTAATTAATTATAATTTATTTATTTAATCTAAATCTTTATGTTTCGAACATTATAGATGATTATCTTATTTTAATGCTGATTTAGTGATCGTTCTAGCACCTAACGCGGCGCTGTAAAAAATGTGCAATTTATTTTTAATAAGGTTGTGAGTTTCGTTTTCTCTCACTTGAATTAGAAATCTCGTTAGCCAGGGAGAGATTTATATTTTCAAACTAAATTAATTGTTGGCACAATTAGAACAGCGTTATAATTAATTTTGCTATCTTTATGATAATATCAAATATCAGCAAAAAGACACCTTCGGATTTACTAACTGATTGCAAACATTAAGAAACGTTACTAAAGCATAACATCAATAAAGATATCGATGCTGACTATCTTTGCAATGAGCTTCAAATAGTAGCTTTCTAAGCATATGTCACCATCAGATATGCTTGTCTATATAACATAACCTAAATTGTAAGACAATGTACCAAATGTTGTTTCCTTGAGAAACAATTCCAATGTCCATGGCTAGCGGAGAGGGCATATTTTTAGCAATCGAAATTAACTAAACAAAAATGTAACGTTAATACCATTCTGGTTTTAAAAATAGTTAAAAGTGGCGCTGGAACCCTCTATCCCTCGTTAATCGCAATAACTTTATAAAATTCTCAACTCCTTATTCCAACCCTTCCCCACCTTTAAATAGACTCTATGCAAGCTACAACATATTATAACTAAACAAGATACAAGTTTGTCCTCTGCTAGATTATTGATCCTTCTTGTTCAAAAAAGAATATAGTGATGGTGGTGTGGTGGTGGTAGATGGATTGAAGCTGGGAGTTATGAAGCATTTAGATTTGTTATACTTTTAACTGTAAGCGGTTAGAATTTTGTCCGATTCGTCCTGATCATTCCTCCCATCCCCCTCCCACACACAGAGTACAGTGTATCTCTAATAGGTCTAGGATTTATAATTTATTTCAGCCTGCGGGCAGGTTTATACAATTGTAATACAAAATTGTTATAAGTCTAGACCAGGGGTCGGCAACCTTATGAAGCGGAAGAGCCAAAAGTTACAATTTTCAAAATTTCCCTGGTTTTAAAGAGCCACTAACACCTTTTTATTTCAAATATTTTTTTTATTAAGATAATTAGTATTTGTTCAAGGAGCTGGAGAGCCGCATCTTGATATCAAAAGAGCCGCATGCGGCTCGCGAGCCGCAGGTTGCCGACCCCTGGTCTAGACAGTACAATGTTGAACACACGAAAAGATAAAATAAGATATATCGTAATGCTTTAATCAATTTAACGATCAGCACATTACAAATTGTCGGATACCACACAGCTTGTTATTTTATGGGAATGTACATTTGTCTTAAGAAAATATTTATGGTTGTAAGCAAACTGGCTTAAAAAAAAACGTAAATAGCGCTGGTAATCTCCACCCTCTCCACCCACGCTTATACTGATATACTGTGAGATGTGTTTCAGATTTTTTTTTATAAAAAGTGTTTCATTACTTAAATTTAGTTGCTAAATACTAAAAATTACCAAGTAAGATAAATATGGCGACATTTTTAATAAGCCGTAGAAATAGCAATAGAAGATGATATATTTCTTTTGGTTAAATTTGAATAAGAATTACGTAAAAGAAAAATAAGGGACGGTATGGTTGTACGTGAATCATTGAGCCATGTACCTTGTGTAAAACAGACGGAGTGTTTTTCTTATACACTAAGCTGCTCAATGGGTACTCTCCGCAAATTTGCCCATGTTATGCATCTCATCGGGAGGAGGGGGGAAGTGCCCATAATCACTGCCGCCATTACCCTTTCTCCCTACCCCTCAAGCCGCCCCCCGGACAAGATAGAAAATATTTTTCTTATAGAAAATATATACGTTCACCATCCGCAAGAAAATTTAAGCTTTCCAATCTAGAATTTAGCTTTGCTCCCATCCCCTCGAAAAAAACTTCTCTGAAAGAAACACAACTAACCTCCCATACTTATCAAGAGGGAGGGTAAGCTTAGCTCCGCTTATGGGACAGCTGTTGCAAGGTGACGTATACCACTGACTCATCTGACCTAGTCGTTCATACTTCTGAACACGTATCTTACATTAGTGTCGATGCTATTTGTGTGTATGTGTATGATCGATCAAACGATGACTGTTTTGCACATGTTCTTGTTGCGAATTGCGTATGATCGATAATCGATAAGATTTCCTTTTCAAAACATAGGTTATAATATAATAATATAATAAGTTATAATATCGGTCTGCAAGTTAGAATAATATGGGGATTTATCCATCGACATACACACATGACAACACACACGCGGGTCTAGATATTCGAAAGTAAATTTTCAACTCAGTAAATATAACATTTGTTGAAGTAATTATTTACTACTCTGTATCAAACTACTCTACGTTTTAATAACTAGCTTGTATGTAACATTGCAATAAAAGGAGAAAGTAAATGATTTTCTTTCAATTATCAAAGATAATAGTTTCCCTGTCTGTGTATCTGTGTACCTATCTTTCTGTTGGAAACGATTTTACTATAAAGAAAATACAAGCAGAGTAAAAACATTTATAGTAATACGAAAAACAAAATGTGACGTCAAATGGAACATATAGTAGGAAATATTATAAAACAGGGAAAGTACACACAATACTATGATGTCATTGATTCTCGGGAAAACATACATTAAAAAAGTTATTTGTCTTCTCTTAAAAGTGGTTTACGTGCAGTTTCTTTCATGTATCTCTTCGGGAGGGTGCTTTGCCCCCTCCCCCACTCTTTCGATAGAACGTTTAACACTAACCCCCCCCCCCCCCCCCCCCCCCCCCCAAAAAAAAAAGAACAGTCTACAGAAAACACAATGAAATTTTAAAGATGCATAGTGAAAGAGCTTGACGTCACATGGAACATATAAAACGTTTGAAAACACTACGAAATATGTACAGCTCTAAAGCCTGAAAAGTGCACACAATAAAATGACGTCATTGATTCTAGAGTAAACATAGAAGTCGAAAGCCATTACCTGATAATAAAAACACTCCTATTACCAAATAATTTATTTTTTAAAATCTTAAATGTGGTCGGCATGCAGAGTTTCGTTCAGAAAGCTCTTTGAGTTAGGGGGCTGAGCCCGCCTCACCCTCCCCGAAAGAAATAAGTCCGAAAGATTCTCATGGGGGTAAATGTACAAATTTCGCAGATTAGACAAAAATGATGAGTTTACGGATGAGTTTAAATTCTTGATGGTTTAAGTTTATCATGAATTACAGCATCTGTTATATCAGAAGTAAGTACTGGTAAAATAACCTTATCTGTAGAAATAGAACATGTATTTGGATCATAATATTTTTTTAATGAGTTAACATGGTAAATCTTTTGTTTCTTCCTCCGGTCTGGAGTGTTGATGACAGTTCAAATATTCAATCTTCCATGAACCGTAAAGGGTCTACAGTATCTCAGAGACAATGCATTGTTAATGGTAGGCATGAGAACAAGGACTTCCTCGCCTGGATTGAATGTTTGATTTTGAGTGATCTTGTCGTAGCGTTCTTTCATTATCTCTTGGGCATTTCTTAAGTTCTTATGAGCTAATTCACATACTGCTTTCAAACGGTCGTGAAAAGCATCAGTTCTCCACTGGATGGATTCGGGCTCCTGCCAACGCTTTTGGATCTGTTTCAGAGGACCACGGACAGAATGACCGAACACAAGCTGAAAGGGTGAGTACCCTAGAGATTCTTAAAAACAGTCTCTAGCGGCGAAGATAACTCATGGAACAGTCTCGTCTCACTAGGCGTTACTTCTAACGAAAGTTTTCAGCATAGTCTTGACACACCCAAGGACAAGAGACAAAAGAAGACCAGGGCAATGAGACGCGTACTCACAACTTATACACTCAACTGCATGAGAAAAAAGGAGTTAAGAAATAGAAATCATACTCTAAAAAATTAAGAATTCAGTTATGATTTGAAATTAAAAGTTTAAATAACTTAATTCAGGGGAACAATTGTTCACGGAAACGAGATAACTTATAATAGATTAGGAAGACATGATACCTAGAGTTTCACATCCTGTTTATTACTGAATCTTGAGACAGTACACATTGGCGTCTGTTGTATAATGTGTATATCAGCATGGCTGTTGTTGTATAGCTGCAGTTTTTTTTCTCGGGAATTTTCGATTGCTTACCCCCGGAGAAATTTACGCTCTAGGTATTTTTTGCACTTTCAGTTTATATCCAAACCGCACAGACTCCAAAGCCATTACCAAACCGAGCAAAACAAATTATCAACCCCCCCTCCAAAAAAAAAACAAAAAACAAAGAAAAACATCCTTTCCCCCATCTTTCACTCTCTCCCCTCCTTCAGCCCGCCGCTTCAGCTTTCAAACGACTATCCAGGAGCAAATGCTAAATAGTACTGTACATAATGCGAGTATATAAAATAACATTTATAATTTATAACTAAAGTTGCAAACATGACAAAAATATTTTTACTAAACAAATTTTAATAAATGTACTTTGCATAAACAACAAAAAGTCTCATTTTCATTTTGAAATTTCAAATAAAACATTTAATTTCATCAAAAAAGCAACACGTGCACAGTCCAGATTTAATTTACACTAATTAGACAATTTTTTTTACATTTAAATTAATTAGACAGTCTGGTATCGTATCTTTATGTGAATATCTCTTTTATTTAGATAACTCATATTTTCATATTGCTTTATCCAGCAGGAAACCAGAGAAAGTGTTGATCACGTGATGCTCCTCTCCATACAGACTACCACAGATGGAAGCTTCAACAAAGACCTCATCACCAGCCTCCAACAGCAACACCGCGGAGTTGGCTGATAACATAAGTTTTATGAAATCATTCTTCACATTCTAGTTAACAAAAGACACACTTTCAAATTTGTATTCTAAAACAAATATTCCTATAACATTTTGTAGCTTATTACAATGCTATTGTTGACCACAACTTACTCAATCCAGGGCCGAATGTAATGTGAAAGATTAGCTTTCGATTATTTATTTTTCAAAACAGATGTCATCTTACCAGCGAGAGACAACTCTTGGTTCGTGTTGCTGTACAAGGACACAACTTTCGTTTTGTTTTTAACAAGAGACAAACTCAGTTCTTTCCCTTTATTAGCAGCCCCGTAGATTTGGAAGAAATATAACCCTGCCTGTACGAAATAATTGAAGATTGTGAGGTGCATAGCTGAAACTGACATAACAATCAATAAAATTGTAGGAAAATTACGAGCATACCGAAACTAATTCACTAAAAAAAGATACGTCATTATGGACGGATGATAACAGAGGGAGATAAGGCAATGCTGATTTTATTATCTTTTGTATGTTGCATTTATGTATATTTGACTGTTTTTGTGTATTGTGTGTGAACCAGTTTGCTTGTTTTACTAAACTAGTATTCTTTAATTATTGATATTCTGCTGTGTTTAATAACAAAAAGTTAACACAAATTTTTGTGTTTAAAGTTAGTGTTTGGTTGTATTTCTCTTCTTCTCATTAATGCAAATGCGATTCCCATAGCATGATCTGCATTAGTAGCAGATTTTTTCCCACGTTTTCTTTAACTTGCTTTCGCGTCTGTTTGTTTGTTTGTCTTTCCGTCAAATCTTGCGATCGAAATTTCGGGCACTTTCCAGTTAGCTAGCGCGCTGAAATTTTCAGGGAAGCTTTGTTTCCGATGACAATACAATATTCAATTATTATTATTACTAAATTGAACCATGGAAAAATTTTATTGATCATTTTTGACTCCTATTGATTTGTACTAAAAAGGGACATAACCGAGTAATTGTAATTTGATAAAAACAAGGTTCGGTACTTTCCTTCTTCTGGCTTACTGAAGGAGCGAGCACGCGATTGGCTGAGTAGTGGTCACGCGGTGTTTGTGTACAAACCTATGCAAATCTGACTGATCCGGAAGTAGAATGTTGATGGTCGAATGGTTTGCACGCGAGGGAAAAATGGTGAAAGAAACGGCAACACAGAGGAAACGTCGATTGGAAAAGGCACGCCAGAAGTATCAGGAGAAGCGCAATGCAGGATACAGATTGGAAAATCCTCCTAAACGACCAAAAATTATGGAAGAAGGTGAGTATCAAAAGAAGCTTGAAAAAGATCGAAATCGAAAATCTGCTGCTTTAGCGATGGAGACAGAAGAACAAAGTGTCTCTCGTAAAGCAAAAGATACTGTTCGTGCGATTGAGACAGAACAAGAAAGGGTCTCTCGTCTTGCTAAGCAGAAAGAACGAACTGATGCTGCACTTGCGATTGAGACAGAACAAGAAAGGGTCTCTCGTCTTGCTAAGCAGAAAGAACGAACTGCTGCTGCACTTGCGATTGAGACAGAACAAGAAAGGGTCTCTCGTCTTGCTAAGCAGAAAGAACGAACTGCTGCTGCACTTGCGATTGAGACAGAACAAGAAAGGGTCTCTCGCCAAGCAAAAGACAGAAAGCGTCATGCTACTGCTCGTCAAGACAAAGAAAGGCATGAAGCAGAATTGCAACGTCGACGCCCAACGTTCGGCAGCAATGAAAACATTTTTCGACACGATAAACAATTTTTGCAATATAACTTGTGATATTTGTCATAAGCAGTGCTATCCTAATCAGGTGACAAAATATCACATGCTTGCTTCTAAGGGATACCTTCCCCCTGAGCTTGCGCAAAAGACTGTGCTAGAAGTTTGTCACCGATGTAACTCGCACTTGCGCAACAATAAGAAGAACATGGCTCCGTCGAAAGCCTACTGAAATAACCTTGATCCTAGTGAAGTTCCCGACGTAATTGTCAATTAGAGCGAGTCCGAATACAGACTTTTACGTAGCTAATTCTGTACTCTATGTTTCGAGATGCCACTGTGCGTTTTACTATACAACTTTGTGTTCGTCCTTTGTGAGTGTTTGTCTTCGTTTACCCCAAAAAAAAAAGTGAATGCGAGAAGATAAAATCGATAGCAAGATTTGAATGCAAACAAACAGACAAAGACTAAAAAGTAGAAAATAATTATCATTAAACAATTTTTTAAATTGCTCATAGTAGAGTAATCACTTGCATTATTGTGATGTATAGCATTTATTTTCTACTTTTTAGTTCAATCAGAAAACGTGGTTTTTTCTTTTTTAAACTTTTAATGATAATTATTAATTAAATAAAATGTCCTGATAATCAGAAACAACTTCAAGTTTCAAAATGCAACATGCGAGTTAATTATGGGAACTTGTTTTTATCACGGGGGACGGCGTGTTCTAGCGGTTAAGAGCTGGACCCGAAAGTCCCGAGTTCTAATCCGGGTTCAAGTCAGATGACCGTCCCTAAGTCCACCTAGCTCCGTCGGGCACCTAACTAGCGTTAGGGAAAGTAAAGGCGGCTAGGCATAGTGCTGACCAAACTACCCCTCAAATGCCGAGGTCCCAGAAATAGATGTACTCTACTTTATCTTCACCGTGTGTCTTGTACACAAACCAAAAAAAGATGATAATGAATCTATCATAATCAGGTAAAACGTCTTTTTGTTAAAATTCATATTCGATCATCACTTACCACGTTGCATCTGAAAACACCAGTACTGCTATTATAGTCGTCTCCAACATTAGATACAACTTTATTATAAACAACGACATCTTTCAACAGCACATCCAACGGCTTTGATAACCCAACTGTAAACGCGACCTTTTGTGTTTGTTTGAATTTGTCATTCTCGTTCTCTGCATTAATCACAGTAGGTCGTGATGAATTCAATTCTGGTAACATAAAAATTAATTCTATGAAGACAATATGACTTTAAATTAACAACCCGTTAAGTTATGAAATATTATCAAAAGCCAAAATACTATGATAGCAAAAAATATTGCAATTATGGCATAAAGATATAAATATATATATATATATATATATATATATATATATATACATATATATATATTTATACTTACATATATATTTATATTTATATATATATACATTTATTTATTGCATTAGTGATAATAATACAATTGTTAGTATCATGGTCTTAGATTAAATAATGTTTACCCTGTGTGTTGTTCGAAACATTTCCAGTTTTTGACACGTTGTTATTATTTTTGACTTCAATTGCTGCTGTCGTTGGTGTTGTTGATGGTGTAGTTTCAGTTGTTAAAGTGGTCGTTGGTGTTGTTGATGGGGTAGTTTCAGTTGTTAAAGTGGTCGTTGCATTTGTTAAAGGGAACGTGTTAATTGTTAATGGGAGCGTCTTAGTTGTTGATGGGGACATTTCAGGATTCCCTGTTTTCTCTGCAGAACAGAAAGGTTATTCTATATGAAAGAGGGCGGCGTGCGCGGGTCGGTTAAGTGCATGGTTGCTAAACCGATAAGTCACGAGTTCGAACAAACCGTGTAGATGAGGCTCAATAGCTAAAGACAGCCACTCATCTTGGAGAAAAAACTTTAAATTCAAACAACTGCTAGGGGTCGGCGTGGTCGAGTCGGTAAAGCTCATGGTTGCTAAACCGAAAAGTCTCGAGTTCGAACCCTCGGGCAGATGAGGCTCGTTAGCTGGGGACAGCCACTCTTCTAGGAGAGACAACTCCAAAATTAAAACAACTGCTGCCTTGTAGTTTGTTCTTGGTTGGACAAAGGCTATGGAAGCAAATCCGAAAAGCAGGCTGAAATCGGAGTCAATGGCCTCAATGGCGCATAACCAGTTGACACGTAACGCTTAATTGTGTTGGAGGCGTGGTCGAGTCGGCAAAAAGCTCATGGTTCGTTAACAATATTGTTAGACTTTTCACCTTGACTGTTTAGAAACGCGTCAAGTCATTACCGTCTTCAACACAAGCATAATATATTATTTTCTTATATTTCGTTTCTAGCCAGAGCTATTTTATCGTAATCATTATCTATTTTGTCAAATGTAAATTAGCAGCAAAGTGATTTAAATTCTCATTTTTAAGAAACATCTTTGTAGCGGCCAATTATGACGTTCCGGGCGGATTATCATTTAGCGCCCCCACCCTCCCATTTCTTTATGGCTATTTCTGTCTGTGAAAAAGCGCACCCCCCTGTCGTTGGAAAGGTTTGTGCCGCTTCTTACCAGTTGCTATCCCGTAACATTTTCAGTGTCACAAAATTAATATAGAAAACAGTTAAATCAGTAGGTAAAACTTTGTAGTCGTTTATTTTCGTAACTTTGACTGTGTATAATAAGATACTTGAATTTGGAACGAGCTTTAAAATAAATTTTCTACCCATTTTTTGCGCCCCTTTAGGGTCGGCGCCCGGAGTTGCCACCCCACCCGCCCTCCCGTAGCTACGCCACTGAACTAATTTTTTTTTAATTTAAAGGATAAGTCAATCAGATATGCGTGCTGATTAAAACCCCAAGTCATTTAAATGTTTAGTAAACCTTACACTGCAGAGAATATTTCATTTTATAAGTGATTATTTTGTGAGAAATAGAGCTTGATGATACTACACATATTTTTGTAGGTCTCTAAAGTAATCTGACCAATTTATCAAATGAAGTCTTTAATTATACAAGAATACAAGTTTGAATTTTTTAAAAATCGTTCGGATTTAATGATTCGTAGTTGATGATAGTATTTAATGTGTTGTCTGTCATCTTCAGTAAAAAATATATTTACATTTCTCCCTAGGCAGTCTCTGGTAAAAATGTAATTTTCGAACTTCAAAATAAAGCGTGTACACTATTACACGTTCGTTAAATACTTACCATGAAGTTCCATGCAAATAAAAGATAACGATTTAGCACAATTGTCATCATTTAACATTCCATGTTCATAAAGTTCAAGGCAGTCTTCGTTTCCCTCACTGTTGTTGGGTTCGTATTCATGCCACAATGATGTTAGATTAGCTTTGGTACCATCTGTCCAAATCCATTCACCTTCTTGTAATTGATCATTACCACCAAGCCACACTTTTGAATGAAAAATTACATATATATATATATATATATATATATATATATATATATATATATATATATATATATATATATATAATATATTAATATATATATATATATATATATATATATATATATATATATATATATATATATATATATATATATATATATATATATATATGTGTGTGTGTGTGTGTGTGTATCGCACACTTTTGCATTTTTGCATTCTATTTTCGTAGTGTTAAGGCTGTTTCTTTGTGCAAGTTGTCGTCTCGGTACTCTAATCGGCCATGATCCTGCTCCTCACTGGACATACTTTATTTTAATTATTACTTACCGCGTATATTGCTTGGTCTGAGAGAAAAAAAGAAACTTCAAAACAGAGAGTGAAGAAACTTTGGCCAGGCTCCTTTCTCCAATGAAATTTGAACAGTATTTCTTGAAATAAGAAAATGGAAAAAAGCTTAAGATCCAATGTTATATTAAATATTTTAATCACTAATTGTTATTCGAGAGAAAAGGTACTTGAGTATATCTGAGCTAGAAAGTAAGTGATTATGTAATTAAGATTTCATAGTGTCAAATATGTTGACTGTAGTTAGATGTCCTATTTTTTGAAATTACCTGCGCTTCAGTCCAATTCCTTGGTGTTGTGAATAGCTCATAGCAGTTGTTGTCAAACTTAGTAGCCGTTTTGCTAATACACGCCGCTGGAGATTTAGAATAAAATGCAATAAAAATATTTCTATTTTTATGTGAGAAGTCGTTATTATTCAATATAAACCAATTACTTTATAAGTTTAATGTCGATTTTGTTCAGTTTTGTGTTACTTAAACAACTTAATGAACATTCAGTACAAATACATTTTTCTTACCCAATGAGTCGCTGGAAACATTGTTAGGCTTTGACTCATTTCTCGGTGTAGTAAAGCTAGTTGTTGCCGTGGAGGTCGGATATGTTTTTGGATAAGTTTTGGGTGTGGCAGTTGTCTCTGCGAATCAAGACAAAGTAAAAACGTTTAACAGGTAATGCTTTTACTCCTTTTTCTTAATACATTGAAGAGAGGAAATACAGGTTGAATAATACTACTACTACTACTACTACTAATAATAATAATAATAACGAATAACCTCGAGAATTAAGACCATGGGCGTGCGTTGCTATTTCCCACCCGAGACCAGATAGAATCTCAGAGGCATTGCCTCGTCCACTAGGTGCTTTTAGGCGATACCTACATAATCAAATATTCTTTACCCCTAGCTGTCTAGCTCGAACTACAAAAATAGTAAAACAAACATGCGTAGAATATATCGTTGAAGCAGCAAACTACTTTTCCAAAGCACATTATCGTGTCAACTGTAAAGAAATAAAGCAGGATGATCTCGCATAAAATTTCTCACATATTCTAATAGATCACTAAGGAAGAAGGAACTTCCAGAGCAATGTGAATTCAGAAATGTTTTTATTGTTAATTTCTTTAAATACGTTAACAAGAGTAAATTATTATATATTAAAAGAGAATAATTTTTTACTCCTTTTTACTTCAATATTTCATACAAGCTTGTTATTAAGACGTTTTTATAGCATTTTTTTCAGTACTTACAATTTTTAATACTATCGAGTTGCATGACTAAAACTATTCAGCACCAAATGAACATGTTAATGCTGGTATAATAGTGCAAGATAGTAGCAGGATAACTTCTAATTTCAGATAATGTTAATTAATTCATAAGAACATTAAATGGTCATCCTATTAAGTCAAATCTTATGTCAGATTGCATTGTGATTAGCTCTTGACCCACGAGCCAAAATTCAGAGAAATTGATTGGTTATAAGTACCCAAAATTTCGCTCTTCCATTTCGATCTGGCATTAAGACAGAGGAAGCATGTTTAATAAAAGCTTGTAAAAATGCATTAAAAAAGTTTTAATAACAAGGTTTTATGTAATAATGCACTAAAAAGGAGAAAATAAATTATTTTCTTTAAATATATAATAATACATAACTATTTAAATAACAAGATAGAAAAGTGTGGGTCATTATATTATCTAGCGGATACCTTTTCTAATACTATTAAAGTTATTTAAATAGTGGTGTATTATTATATACTTAAACAAAATCAATTATTTTCTCCTTTTTAGTGCATTATTACATACAAGTTGTTATTGCAAGGTTCTTTTACTGCATTTTTTCAGCACTTTAACAATCTCTATACAATATAGTAGAATGACTAAAAATTATTGCACACCAAATGAACATGATAATGTACTTGTAATAGTGCGGAATAGTGGTAGAAGACGGACACACCCTTCTACTAATCAATTTAGACAATTTTAAAGAATTCATAACCAATTTGATTGTCATCCAATTAATTCAAATTTAGTGTCAGATTGTATTGTCATCGGGTTTTAATCATTTTTTATCTTTTTAAAAAAAATCTTTCGGTTTTTAAAATGATGTAGAGTAATGTTTATTTTGTCATCCTCTTGTAAGGGATAGAGAGGTTAGTCTCATACCCAGCTGCCTGTATTCATTAAAACAATGTGAAACCATCTTTCAGGCTAGGAATTAATATTGCATTTCCCTCTTGTCAAACCAAAAAACATATTTTAGGAAAAATATTTGGGAGTGAGTAGTAGACAATTACTGTATTATTTCACTGATGAACATAGGAAAAATAAACGTAATGCTGTACGAGGTCTCATTCTCCGCTTTACATAAGAGCTTTATGACTTATTTTATCTTCAGAGATGCAGGTTTTGTCATCACCTTAAATTGTGTATTTTCAAAGAACAAATTGTTTTTTTCATAGTATATTGCAACAGCAATTGTAACCATTTGTAACAATGCATTGATTAGCTCTAAGCGCTTTGAAAAAGAAAGACTCACTTGTAACATTACAGTTGGCTTCGTCAGATTTGTCGTTACAATCAAACTCTCCGTCACAAAACCAATCACTTGAAATACAATGGTTAATGTCGCAGTGCTTGTGATTAGGTGGGCAATCACGTTGTGTACCTAAAACCCAGAATATATTGTTTCAATTTACATCATCAATTAATATCCAGAACGTGTTTAAGTTAAAACAACTTTTATAAACTTACAGTTGACCTCATCACTTCCATCTTGACAGTCCATTTCACCATCACACAGCCAAGAGAGATGGATACACTGTGCATCATGCACAGGTAAAGAACATTGGAACTCATTATAACGACAATTTGTGTACATGATGGAACAATGGTACTCATCTGATTCATCCATACAGTCCATGGCTCCATCACACCAATAACTATCGGGGATGCATTCTCCATCGTCGCATATCTTTTCAGTCCTTTTGTCGCACTTTAGTTTAGCTTAAACACAAGGGCACAGACTACTACATAGATTTCATCAAACGTAACATTTGTTTTCAGCTAACTATAATAGTATAGAAGAAGTATTGTAATCGTGAGAGAAATCGTGGTTTTTCAAAAGCCTATAACTTGTGTATTTATTCAGATAGATAGACGAAATTTCACATATAAGTAAAAGATCTAATTTTCTGCTATCTTTCAAATTTTGAGTATTTTTCGTTTACCGGAAGTAGTACTTTGCGCTATTTTCGATTTCTCAAAACACGAATATGAATTTATGTATCTATATTCTACTAAAACTCAAATTCGTTTACATATTTGTATATTTTTTTATATATTGTTTTGTCTGTTTGGTTACAGGAGAGAATCTGAACTAAGTGCAGAGCTGTGAAATACGTATTTAGGGTGTCCGGTCAAAAAACCCCTGGACATAAACCCCTGGACATAAACCCCCCGATATAAACCCCCTGGAAATAAACACCCCGCGACATAAACCCGCTGGACAAAACCCCCTGCGACATAAACCCCCTAGACAAAAAACCACCGCGACATAAAGCCCCTGGATAATTACTCCTAAGACGATTAGATTTCTCAGCGGACAATGATAGGCCGAAAGCCAGCCCCTTCGCAGTAAATATCTATTTGGTTATAATTTTGAATTAAAATGATGACAGATTAAGGTCAATAATGTCAGCATATAACGTTTTTTTAAAATTGCTTTTATAACCTGCGTACATTTGTATGTACATTTTTTTAAATTTGAGGACATTGTTCTAAAAATTGTTTAATCATGAATTACTGCAACTCACTGACTAGCCTTAAGATCAATGACTTACCAAAATAATGATTGAGGCACACCTCCTTGTAGACTTCACCTACCCATGTTTACCAACACAAACCTCCATACATCACCTATTGAACTTTATAATTGCGTGTTGGCAAATACATTGGCGTAGCTAGTATTTATTATATAAGTTTTGGTAGACTACATGGGAGAAGCATTGGAATTTAGCAGTGAATGATCTCTATTGATTGATTACGATCCACATTACCTTTAATACATTATAATCTGTAAGAAAGTGGGCGAGAACTTCATCATTTTGTTTTATTTGTTATTTACACATCTTATGTCATCGATGAACGGTAAAATCTTAAAGCCAAATAATTTTTTTTTGTAACTAGTATTATTTGAACACTTTCTAAAATTAGAGCGCTTGTTAAAAAAACAATGCTTAAATAACATACATTTTCTTTGTATAATATCGTTCATGTTTCATAAACAGCATAGGTAAGTCATGTAAAATTTTCGTTTTAATTTTATAGACAGAAGAATTATTTAGCGAGCATGACTTAGTTAAAGCATGATAAGAGATTACCGGTACAAAATACTCAAAAGAAATAATGAAATAATACACATACATAAAACCATAATACTAACCAGTCAGTTCCATGCAAACAAATGGACGCAATCTATCACATGATTCATCGTTTAATTTTCCATCTCTGAAAATCTCAAGACAATATTCATCTCCGTCTGCGTTATTAGGCTCATTAGGGCTCCATAACGAGCTTAAGTTGGCAATAGTTCCATCTTGCCACACCCATTTACCATCATGTGTAGGGTCATTAGCTCCAAGCCACACTTTAAAAAGAAAAAAATTAAAAATTACATTTGAAAATATATAATTTTAGCTAAAAAAAATAGGCCTACTACCACAAATGAAATTTTTCGAAAACGATTTTTTAATCTCTAATTTTATATGTGTAATGTAAACATAAGCAGAATTTGGAATGATTTATAATAAATGTGTAGACTAGACGTTGTGAATGTTGTAAAGAAATCCAAATAATTACACACATTTAACGTTAAAAAAAATTAACAATTATTTTAAATGTAGATCACGAGAAGATAAATATTATTTAAGTAGCTTCACAACAGACCACATTATAATTTTAGTATACTCAGTATGACAAAAACAGAACTTCGTATTCGATGGTAAATTCATTTTCTAATTGAAAAAAAAACCCCACTTACTTTCTTTATAACCGTTTGGCTTTAGAAAGTTTAGAAAAGATAATTCATTCATTGTCGAAACTTTGGCCAGTGACCGTCTTTCCGTAAATGTAAAGCAGGTTTTCTAACAAAAACAACAACCAAACATTCAATTTTGGTTTGTCATTTATATTCTATCCTATATTTCAATTTACTTTAGTTTGCTCACATTTAAAAAGCAATGAATATGATTTGTAATTACTTTTTAACTTTGACTTAAACCATATCAAAATACAGACAACTGGTAGAGGAGTCAAAACGCGTGGTGGTGGTAGAATGCACTGTTTGACACCAATCAGAGGGTGACACCAAATTTAAATATTAATATTTTGTCTAAACAATATTTTGTCAATTAACAATTCGAAATAAAGGATTAAGTATGACATCCTATTGAAAATGCAATATTGTTGGACGCGGATGAGGTGACAAATTCACCCACCACACCTGCCTATCGACAGCACTGTATTCAACCAAAATCTCACCTCAGCCTCTAGCCAGGTCATCGGAGTATCGAACACCTCAAAGCATTTGTTGCTTAACTTAAAAGCCGTTGGGCTAAAACACATAGCTGAAACTTTTAATGAGATAAGAAATAAAAACGTCATGCAAATTGAGCAATAGTCCGTAAATAATTTCATGCTTTATAAAATATTTTAAAATCCACCCCGCAGCTACCATTTGTACTACTGCACCTCCTACATTGGCGTGATTTACCAGCCTAGTAGTCCTCTCTCAAAACTGCAATTCCTGTTGTATGTTTACAACTGATAACAAGGTTTAACCATTTCATATTTCTAAGGCTAGTTTCTAGCATACAAAAATAAATTACCGGTCAGGCCAAAACCACTAATTCGTGTTAAAAAAGTAAAAAGTAAAACAAAACTAAGCTAATAATCAAATGAGACATACGTGAAAAAATGTAATCACTATTTTAAAATTATTTTTTCCTGGTAATTAGCTAACCTGCACGATACAGACAAGCAAAGGTGAAACTCTAATTTTAAGTTGAAAAACTTTTATTTTAGAAAAATAACTAATTTTAAAATATCTTTACCCTAGTTTTCATTTAAGAAGGTTTAATACTAAAATATAAAATACAGTTTTTGCACAAAGACTAGTTCGAATTGTCTTAAAGCGATATAAGCTAATTTCTTCCCACTGTTATGAAAGAAATCTTGTCCTTCTAGACGTTTAGATTTCACAATGGGTAATATTAATCCTAAAGCCACCCCCTCCGCAATATTACACGTTTGACAATCTAGGCTAAATATAAAATAAAGTTGGCTAATGTGGAAGAATGTAGTCAATCTTTCAAAAGATATTTACCTTGTGAAAAGTCAACTTGTGTGATATATAGCAGTAAACAAACAGCACTCAGCTTCATTGTGTTGATCATTTTAACTTGTAAAATGTGATAAATATAAAGCAGTTTTATTATTACATTTGGATTTTTAACATAAATTAATAACATTTCGAATATAATAATTTCGAAAATATTAATATGTATTACAAAAATTGAGAATGTGAAGGCGGCTGGGCATAGTGCCGACCAATCCCTCCTTTCATTTGCCGAGATCAAGAAACATAAGAGCTCTTTTTTATCTGCAGAAGACTACAAACGAACGATCAAGTAATCAAGTGGTCTTTCTCGAAAAGGCTGGTAGATTTTCAAAGTACTGATGACAAACTACCTACTATCTCACAAGCAACAACGTGGCCAAACGAAAATGAATCCTTCAAAGTAAGACTAAAATCAATAGAAGTAACGGGTAATCAACATCAATAACAATCAACTTGCTAATACAGCTAAATAGACGCAAATTAATGTGTCTCGAAAGCTCTAAGGCTGTAGTGTTACCAAAACAAGTACAGTCATATTATAGTCGTTCACAAACAAAAGCCAATTGACACGGGCACAAAAGCTCGCTAATTTAGATGGATTGGGCATACCCTTATGGAATGAGATTTAATAGTAGAATATAAATTATAAATTTGTCCTTACTTTAAAAAAATAGTTTTTCAATACTAAAAAGCACACAATTTTTCTCTAGTTTTTTAAGGTACATCAGCATATGTGATTCCATTTTAAAAAAAAATTGTGGGACAATCTGGGTTACTACGACAACGACGGCCATCTTGAAAAAATAACCTATTCGGAGAACTCCCGCCATTAATAAAGTATTAAAGTTTAAGCCCAATAAACAAAGGAATTCATAGTCTTCTACAATATTACTCAACTAAAAAATTTAAGTTTCCTAACGAATTTTTAAAAAGTTTTTAATTTTTTTATTTTACCGGCGCCTACCTCCTTAAATGCACTAAAAATGTTGTGATCTCTTTTTAATGTTGTTTATTATAATAAAAACAAATTGCATAATAACGTTTTAATAACAAGCTTTTATGCAAACTTTTATTTAACTTTCTTCTTCTGTCTGTCGTCAGTCTTGAGTTTGTAGTCATAAATCGAAAAGGGCGAGCGAAATTTCGGGCACTTTTAACTGACCGATTTGTTTCAAAATTGGTACGTGGGTCAAGATTTGTAGACAATGAAACACGACATCAAATTCGACTTAATTGGTTTCCTAATCAAACTATTAGGCTGCCTTACTGCTATTAATTAGTAGTAATGCAGCATACTAGTAAATTTTACCACAACATTATACGCTTAGAATCTTATTCATTAGGTGCACAATAGTTTTTAGTCATGCAACTCTATTGAATTAAAAATTTAAAGTACTGAAAAAAATTGCATACATTTTTTAATAACAAGCTTTTATGTATTAGTGTACTAAAAAGGAGAAAATAAATGATTGTTTAAAAATATATGATAGTACACTACATTTATTTCCTCCTTCCTACTGGGTCAGGCAGATGAGGCTCATTAGCTGGGGACAGCCACTCTTCTAGGAGAGAAGAGTGCTTGGTAGTTTGTTCTTGGTTGGACAAAGGCTATGAAAGCAAATCTTAAAAGAAAAGCAGGCTGAAATCGGAGTCAATGCCCTCAATGGAGCATAACCAGTTCACACGTATAGGCCTACTTAATTGTGTTGATTGGAATATTTTCCAACACTAAAATTAAGAACGAAGAAGAAGAAGTGCATTATGACATACACTTAATTTTTATGCCGTTAAAAATTAAATGCTGAAACAGCGTTAATCTTTTTAAGATAATAAGTCTGACCTTTGGCACGTATTAGAAATATCTATTTCTTACCTATTTGATAAAGGTGTTGTAGGATTCTTATCTTCTGTCACCATCAACTACATAAGCAGTAGTGAGTATGTCTGTACGCAAGTGGCAAGGAAATGAAAAAGGATGTCAATAACCCGCTTTAAATAATATGCAGAAGGCGGATGAGAAATGTAGAGAAGCATGACGTAAATAGTTAAATGTTTCTAATAAGATCCGTTTTGTGATTTTATCATGTTGGCACCGCGACAAGTAGGGCAAAGAGACTTGTAACGTGTGAGTTTCAGTGTACTTCAGACTACATATATATATATATATATATATATATATATATATATATATATATATATATATATATATATATATATATATATATATATATATATATATATATCGTAGTGTGTGTGCATTGTGCATATTTATATTCTATTAGACGTTATCGGCTATGCTTTGCCCCAGCCATTTATAGCCATGTCTAAATTTAAATGTAAACGCATATGCTTTAAATAATTTATATGAAAATTTAAATAGCACTATAACGTACTCATTTTAGGTCATTCTAAAAATTAATTTACATATCCCCAAACATTACCCTTACCCTTACCCTTACCCTTACCCTTACCCTTACCCTTACCCTTACCCTTACCCTTACCCTTACCCTTACCCTTACCCTTACATTTACCCTTACCCTTACCCTTACCCTTACCCTTACCCTTACCCTTACCCTTACCCGGTTTATATTAATTATAGTTTGTTGTGTTCACCAGTTAGAGCTATAGACCTACCTTTCTGTCATATCTTTAACAATAATGTTTACAACAACTGATATTGTACATCCATATTGCTAAGTACAATTAGTGTGCTGGGTCAGAAATATTTTTATTTCACTTTTGCTCCCAGCTCAACCCTGTTTATTTTATCACTATATCAGTTAATATCTAGAAGCAGAAATCGTTTGACATACATTACAACTATAAATATACATGCATATGGGCTAACCACAAAGTTTACTATTTTTATTAATGATCTTAATTTGTGTCACAAACTACTGCTTCTGAAATTGAGCATGCTCATATTAGTATTAGCAATTATGACATATCAGGATAAAAATCATCTCCTAATCAAGTTAATAGTATTAAATGTAAATACAATATTTCTCCCAACAGTAAAACATACTTATTCCTCTCCGGTTTTGAAATTCTTCCTAAAACATGCTTGATGGTGAATGAATTATTAAATGAAACTATGTCTGTTAGATTATACCAAATTTTTATTTCTTCCCAATACAATCAGAAGAAGACCTCCAGCCTCAGGTCATGTACCTAACTCACGGCTTAAGTTTTAAACGCCAGCGTTCTATATCTAGACCATACACCCGATTTACTAGAGACAAACATTGAATATAATTATCTTTTTCTTGATTCGTTTACATTCGTTCAATTACTTGTCTACGAATAACTTACAGACTGACAAGATCATTGTAAATAAGCAATAGTGATAGTTCTAAAGAACATGAAAACAACCTACATAGATAAGAGGCTCGTGGGCCTGCAATATCATTTTGCAAATCCTGTTCATGTATCCTGGTTTGTTGCCCGACCCTACGTTTGACGTGCATAGTTTATCTCCATGTCTCATTAACTTCTAAGAAATAAAACATTGACGTTATCTTCCCTGCCAAACCGTCTACGCAGCTCACTACCACGTCTCATATCCTGTTTCATAACTGATATTACATAACAATCGTCTGATACATTTTATCAGGTTGGCCGACTAGCATTTCCAGTCTCGTGTTTACGCAATAGGATAATAAAATTAGTTGGTCAGAAGATTTGGTTACCCACATGTCTGGTTGAACTAAATCTAGGCAAAAGCTAATGCTGGTACACGCGTCTGTGTATAGCCAGACACGGTAATCTTACACAATTCCTAGAATCTACTGCGCAGTCAAACACCCAAACACGTGGGTTTTTTTTCTTAAGAAAGTTTTTTATTGTAATAAACACACCCGTCCAATTTGTTTATTTAAAAAAAGAATAATGAAAAACGAGAAGGCATTACATTCTATGACATATTATACCTATAACAGAATCAAAACCTACATACTTCATACATATTTTAATCTAACTACGGCGTCGACCCTCCGATTATTTGAAAATCATCCCTGTCTAGTGCGGGAACAAGTAGTTTTTACGGAGCAGCAGGTATATTTAATCTAATAGGTTATCATTTTAAAAGGCTGAATGATGTTAAATAAATTAATGTACTTGATTAAAATAAATAGTTCGTAATAATTTTATAAACTAGACTAAATTATAAGGAAAAAGATGATAGAAATGCGTAATAGCTGAATTAATGTGACGAACAGTGCATTATACTATTCTGATACATAAAAATAAAGTGGTTACATTTTAATTTTTTTAAAAGAAACATTACTTTGTTAGCAAGAGATATAGCGGTTTTATTGATCTATTTTATGCTTAAATTACAGCAAATTGTATCAGTAAAACGGCTAAGGAGTTTGAAAACAACTGCTAGGAGCTAATCAGCACAACAATGAGTTGGAGTCAAGCACAGGTGATTTTACAAGCTTTTACTTAACTTGCTTCCTCTACCTGCCTGTCAACAGTCTGTCTGTCATCAGTCTGTCTGTCTAGATCAAAACGCCCGAGTGAAAATTCGGGCACTTCTAACTGATATATTTGGTTCATAGTTGGTACGTCGGTCGTGACATGAAGACAACGCAACATGATATTAAATTTGAATCAATTGGATGCCAAATTAATTTTTTTATTAATTAATTAACATTTTGTCCAAATTAGTAGGCTATCTCAACAAACTATTCCGCACTATTAGACACTATTATCACGTTCATTAATTGCACAATGGTTTTTAGTCATGAAACTTTATTGTAAATAGATAAATTAAAAAGAAGGAATTTTTTTCAAATAAAAACTTATTTTAATATTAAACAAGCTTTTATGGGTCTATTCCTAAATATTAGTAGTGGTATCCAAAAGATACTAAAGTGACCCACGCTTTTCTTTATAGTTATTTAAATGGTAGTGTACAATTTATTTTCTACATTTTAGTGCATTATTATATAAAAGTTTGTAATAAAAAAAAATTTTATGATTTTTTTAATGTTTAGATTACATGTAGTTACATCCAACATATTTGACACTTGTTCAATAACTTCATCATCTCTTATTTTTACAGCTCAGCTAAAGTCAGTTACCTGTATCAAAATTAATAATAAAATTATAGTATATTAGAAAATACATTTGAAGTTTTCATTCTAAAGGAATATTGCATGAGATTCAATGGAAAAAGGAGCCTGGCGAAAGTTTCTTCACATTCCGTGTTGTCGTTTCTCAATTCTCTAACAACAGGCGAAATTCGAGGTACTCAATAATTAAAATAAAAAAAAAATTACGAAATGAGACATACATATAGGTTAAATAAATGTAACTCATCTATAACTCGTTAGTGTAAAAAAAATCGCGAGAATATTCTCTTTTTTCGAAACATTATATTTTTCATTGATTTATTATGAAGTATTCATGTGTTAGCAGGGGCCTTTAATAAAAAGTATCAAGGTGTATGATGTATAGATTTTTGTCTTACAGAGGCGTGGCTTGGCGCTACTGACCAGTTACAAGAAGGTAATTGGGTGTGGACAGACGGTACAAAGGCTGATCTTACATCAATGTGGAACAGTAAAGAACCCAACAACCTCAATGGGAATGAACACTGCCTTGAATCGCATGGTCATGGAAAGCTAAATGATATGGATTGTTCTACATCGCTCTCTTTCATTTGCATGGAAGTTCATGGTAAGTACTCATTTATACACACACACACACACACACACCCACACACACACACACACACACACATATATATATATATATATATATATATATATATATATATATATATATATACATATTGTTACGGCCTCCTGTGATTTTTACCCGGTCTGACCCTATCGGAGGTTAAGACGCCCAAAAATTATGTAAGCATCTTAACAGTGTTTGATCGAGACTATTAGGCCGTACAGTCAATTAAATGCTGAAACATTCGCGGTCAGAGCTGTGCATTATGGCCATGGGCTAAATAGCGTCTGGTGTGTATAGCGACGGTCGGTAGTTTACGACTGGGAAATATTTCTGACCAGAGAAGACTGTTAATTCGAATTCCCACGCTAGGGTGTGGAATCAGCTATTTGAGGACAGTACACGGACAGTACAGACTGTCAGGATTAGACTACAACGTGTGGGCAGCGCCAAGAGATATCCCTAGACTTAGACTAGAACTGAGCGTTAGGGACAAGAAAGTTAGTCATACTAAGGACTTCTTAGTACAGTTATAGATAGTTGTACTTTTTTCTCATTGCAGTCCATATGGTGGCGGTTTGAGGTTGCGGGTTGTTACATTATTGTAGCATTAAACTGTAAAAAATAATTGCCAATAGTATTTATTCCTTCTTAGTTATTGTTCTTATCTCCTAACCCTCTCGCCCAGTTGTAAAGGACGGGAAGGTGGGGATGTAACAATATATATATATATATATATATATATATATATATATATATATATATATATATATATATAATATATATATATATATATATATATATAATATATATATATATATATATTGTGTGTGTGTGTGTGCTTTATGTCACACTGTTTTGCCCGTTGTATAGAAGTGGTCGAAATATGCTCGCAAGTTTCCGCCCGATGACAGAGTAACCAAGACAGATAAATTCTAATACATTTCGAGAAATCGAAAAAAACTTAAAGTACCACTTGTGGTCATCAAAATCCAGTGAATTCGATCTTACGCCTATTTCTGAAATGTCGTTCATCTATCGGAAACAGTACTTTTTCTATCAGTTTTGTAAAAACTCGATGCAGCATTCAGAACCACTTCAGGATATTGAAATGTTTCAATCAGGAAAGTCGTTTTATTCGGGTCCCTATCCCATAACTATTCTTTATCTATATAGTGTTTCGCATTTCCGTCTGTTTCTTTTTGCTACGGAGAGTCTAAGTTAACCAGTTATTATGTAAGTTAAACTTTTCTTTTCTACAGAAACAAGCCAGAAATTTGAAACGACCCCATCAACAACGAAAAAAAACCTATCAACATTTAAAACAACCCCATCAACAACTAAAATGACCCAATCAACAATTAAAATGATCCCATCAACATCTAAAATGCCATCATCAACAATTAAAATGATCTCATCAACAATTAAAAGGACTCCATCAACAAATGCAACATCGACACTAACGGCATCAGCAACTGCAGTCATTATAGATGACAACGTGACAAAAGCTGAAATGTTTTCTAATTACACATTCGGTAAATGTGACTCAGCATTTTATATACATGATACTCACATATTTGTTTTACTGTAACTATTGTAATGAACGAATATATTATCTATGTGTCGTTACGCCATAATTATAATTTTTTACCTCTTTGTAATTCATCTTTTGATAACATTTTATTACTTAACGTGTTTGTTATTTTAAAGCTAGCATGTCTTCGCATAATTATTTTCATCTTAACAGACTCTACATCACAAAAACCCACTGTGATTGATGAAAAGGAATCTAATGACAAATTCATACAACCTACATTGGTTACATTCACAGTCGGGTTATCAAAACAGTTGGATGTTCTGTTGCATGATGTCATTGTTTATAACAAAGTTGTATCTAATGTTGGAGACGACTATAACAACAGTACTGGTGTTTTCAGATGCAACATGGTAAGTGGGGAATAAATATGGACTTTATTTAAATGCTGTTTTAACTGACAAATTTAAAATTACCTAGCTTAACTCGTATGTTAGATTAGATGGTTACAAAAGTAAGAAAACATACGTGGAATTAAAAAAATCTGTGACAAATCTTGGTAGATGACGGGAGTAGAAGAGAACTATAATAGGCTTGAAACGTCGAGGTAATCATTCTATATTATTCAAAAAATCTTTTTATAAATATAGCTAGTGATAAAACTATAGTGACGTTTTAGAAACTTAAAACTTTTCGATAATGATCGATTAAACTTAGTTTCATATTTTTTTGTATTGAATATAAGCCTTTGAAGAGCCCTTTAGAATTATTTTATCAATTAAAATATTTAAAAAAACCGACCTCAACCCCTCCTTGAAGTCAACCGGAATCACTATGGAGGGCAAAACAGTGAAAGTCACAACAATTACTTTCCTTGATAACATTCACAATAGCGGTCAAGTGGGTATAGCCTAAAATTGTGTTTATATTAAATTATTTTATATACCAACCCCTATCGCCATAATACATTTACTCTACTAATCTAAATTAAAAATAAAGTGTCACCTAAATTACTATTATATTACTAGTAATTATTTGTTTGAATATTTCTAGCTTTAATAAAACCATAAGTCTTATCGTACTTATTTTCAAATAATCAAAATGTTCAATTTTCGTTGTATCATATGCTTTCTAGCAACAAAGTTGTGGAACCTTTTGGAACCAGCCTATTGAAAACTTCAATTTTTAAAACAGTAATTATGTTTTTAATTTGTACGAATCTAACACACTGATAACCAACCGTAACTTTTTATCATACAATTAAACTTTTTTTATAGGCAGGTTTATACTTTTTCCAAATTTACGGCGTTGCTGGCGAAGGGAAAGAACTTAGTCTGTCTCTTGTTAAAAATAAAAAGAAAGTTACTTCCCTGTACAGCAGTAGAAATCAAGAGTTGTCTCTCGCTGGTAAGTTCACTTTTAGTTGTTGAAAAATCGCATCTGAATCTTTCATTCCCATCACCTAAATCGAATCTGGATTAAGTGAGGTGTGTTTATCAATAGTCATGTAATAAGTTACGCGATTTGAAAAAAAAATCACTATAAGGAATTTTATTTTTATAAGCTAATTTGAGACATCACTTCGTGCTAGAACTCAAAGAATGATTTCATAAAACTGTTTTCTTATCAGCCAACTCCGCAGTGTTGCTGTTGGAGGCTGGTGATGAGGTCTTTGTTGAAGCTTCCAACTGTGGTAGTCTGTACGGAGAGGAGCATCACGTGATCAACACTTTCTCTGGCTTCCTGCTGGACGCTTCCATTGCCTAAGCTTAAAACATTGCTAGAATTTTGTTTCAATTTTTAATTATCTAACCGCAAATATCTGTGTAATTTATTGGTTTAAAGTATGTGAGTTTTAACCAGTAAAAAATCGCTTACTGAAATATACTTGTCATTTGTAGGCCTATTCTAAACATTCATGTGTTATTTCATGTTGGCTCACAAATAACAAGTCTAAATTTATCTAAATACGAGACGCTTAATACTTTTTGCAAAACCTGCTGTGTCAATGTTTGTTTTCGTTTTGACAGAAATGTGTGATAATGTTTTGTTAATGCTTGTTATAGGGGCCATGGATGTGTGCGAGCAAAAGGGCGTTGTTGACCTAATACGTCATTAAGATACATGATCGCGTTACTACTGTCTTTGTCAACCAGCGGTGATCAATGGTTCATTATTATGGAGTTTCTGTACGGACATACATTATACTTGAGTTCCTAAATTTCCTGGCAAATAAATAAAAGTAAATCATTAATCAACTATACATGGCGTCATACTGCCGCAGTGAGTGTAGTGTTGGATTTTATGTATGACGTGTGGGAAGGAGGGGTGGGGGGTTGGGAGTCGGAGAATAAAGAACAAGTGACATCACTGTTTTGAATTTGAAAATGTGATAACTAAACAAAATTTTGAGTTATTTTGCGTCTTAAAAGCCAGTATCTATTTTATCTATGGTGGACAAGATTAGCTATTGTCATTATCACACAATTTACTAGAAAACAAAGACCTCGTCCTACTTAAAAAAGTCTAACACCTGGTTGCGTTTCACAAACGTGTCGTATCCTGGACCGTGTTCTGAACACAAAAGTATAAATAATCTCATAACAGTGTGATGAAACACAGACACCGAAGATATAACTTAATGCAGCATCAATAAACACGTAAAAAAACTTTTCATAATACAATCCTAAATTTAATCATATGAAGATTTACTTCTAGATTGAAAAAAAAAAGAGATGAAAAATTATGGTCCTTAAAAAATCACCTAATTTCTGGTTTTTCATCATAATTGGTTTCTTGCAGTATTGGATAATTTGTCGATTTTTTCGTAATTAAATAATAACTTTAATGAGAAAAGAATGTGTTTAAAATACAATTTTTACGACACAATTAATTAACAAAATTGCGTCATTTTTTTTTCACAAGCGTACAAGCTTTCTACGAAATGTTTTATATCCATCATCATATTGTATTTGGCATCATCGGAAAGCTGGGTTTCTCATGTATTTGATAATCGTATTTTCTATCATCTCGAAAACACCCAAAGCTTACAATCGGCTTTACAAATTACACAGAAATGATATTTTAGTGACCTACGTTTCGTTACTTTTTGCTGTTTTTCGCAGTTCGCTGATTTTTTAACACTAAAAAGCCTACCACTGTTTTATGTATTAAACAAAGCCCAAAATATTTTCAGTAATTGTTCTTGGAGAAAAAAAAAACTTGTGTCTTGAGGGAATCGTGATGGCCTTCAAAGAAAAAAGTTTATGGTAAAACATGTGCAAATTTTGAAACTTTTCGGGTTTCATGACAACCAAAATTGTTTTCAACCCTTTTTTTGCTGTTTAATACTTATTTTCATGTGCCAAAAATGGTGAGTGTTCAAAAGGCTTTAGATCTTGAGTTGTAAATAATAGATATAAACTTAGCATTTCCACTTAATTAAATTAATATAAGAACTATGTTTAATTTTCATCATTGAACACCAAGGCTCCAGACATAAAAAAATGTATGGTAAATACCATTCAAATTAATGCGAACTATAGTGATATTTCATCATACGCTGTTTTGAAAATACGAAAAAATATTTCTGGATTGTGTTTTGTCAAAACAACTTTCTAGATAGAATCACTTTAACCCTTTATCTACTGACGGTACTTATAAGTACCACTTTAATTAAATGCCTGTATTATTTTTAATTTAATACGAATTTTAAAAATTATTGAAGTAATTAATAGTATTGTCTCCCCTGAGTCGCCGGTAGTCGGAGGTATCATTGTTTTTTGAAAATTACTGGTGTGGCGCCATATTCAATGTCTTGCTATATCGGTAGTTCACAATTTTTCTGTACATTTCCCACATACGTTCTTGATTTCCCTTTGTTTTAACTTATTTTTCAAGTTTTCAACCCCAAATATTTTTTATTGGCAACTTCAATAGTCAGGCAAACGCATTTAACTTCTAGTTATACAATTTTTATCAAATTGTCTTTGTATTAGATCGATGTTTACAAGTGGACTTATAAGTACCGTCAGGGCACACGGTCATTTTTTTAAGAATTTTAGAAAATGGCAGATTTTTTATGTGGAGTTACATAAATATTGTCTTGATAATTAATTATCGAAATGCACTCAAAAAATGATATTTACACATTTATAAGAAGTTTAGCATATGGTTTACCTAAGAAATATAGTAATTACATGTTAATTTCTAGTAGTAAAAAATTAACAAGAATAAAGGTATCAGTTGCAGGCTCGTTTACAAGGTTTAGTTTACTTCATTTGTATACCAAAGCCTAGTTCTAGTTGTAAGATTTAATTTGTTAGTTATATTTACTGCACTAAACTGTCTTGCCTACAACAACTAGCATTTACGTAATGTATACATGTAGGCTAGTAATAGTCCATACTTCTGCATATAGTATAGATCTATATGGTAAATTTTAATCAGTAAACAGAAAGGAGTAGGCCACTACGGCTATCCTAAACACATTGAGCTCACATCTATTTATGAACTTTGCACTGTAGTGTAGACTTGTCATAACATTCTAGTAGGCTACAATTATACTAGTATTACTTGTAGTTGCGTGCTGAATGACTAGGCTTTTGTTTGTTAATGCGGCTTATTGTACTAGCTATTGGAAGCTTCCAGCAAAAGTATGTTCATTCCGGCAACCGTTGCTACACCAGAAAGACCACAGACAAGATTGAGGGAGCATGACATGTCGACTACTTTTTGCTGTGTTTGGGGTCTAAGATGTGTTCCGATAGAAAATCCAGTAAAAATCGTACTCAAAATATACTTTTGTGCCGTATTTATGAGTGAAAATTACAAAAAGTTATTGTTATAATGATTGCCATGCTATTAGTTAATAAATTGTATCGTTTGTTCCTGTTTTTTTTTAAAAAAAAATTTTCAAAAAAAAATGTCCTAGTTTACTGACGGTACTTATAAGTACCAATATCTGTTTGGGCCATTAAAAATTTATGAAACGAAATTTCCTTCGATATATGCTTTGAATGTGCCAAAAGCAATATAGTAACACATTGTTTAAGTAAAAATCTCATTCAGAACATAATTCCGTAAATAAAGGGTTAAGAAGGATCGATGATTATTTGACTAAAAAATATAAAATGTAAGTTTTTGAACCGTAATACCTCCCCAAAATATTGTTTTTTTTCAAGATAGTCACTGTTTTCATGGCAACCGTACGATATGAAGAATTCCTGATGCATGCAAATATTTCCTCATAAATACCTTAACTCAGATACCCAAATAAATAAAAAAAGGATTATTATTTAAAACGATTTTCCCCCTGTTTTTTCCCAGAGCCTACACCCTTACAAGTCATCATTTCATTTTATAGCCATAGCGACTTTTCCAGATGTAAAGGAAATATAACAAACCTGAAAAGCACTGAAAATATAAAATGAAACCACTTTGCTTTTGGTTTTTTAAAAGAATTGGACTCTACACGGCAACCAATATTTGTATTATAGAAATAACGTTATTTATTTTCATATTTGATTTAAATGTATTTAAAATCATATTGTTATAAAAGAATTTACATTGGTTCCTTTTTCTACATTTTAGTTATTATAAATTTAAAAAAAAAGACAAAGATGGCGTTATTGTTTCTTTTCCAAGCTAGTATTTGTGACAAACAATGTCTATGTATATTGATTTTTCGTATTAGGTAATTTTGAATAACATTTTTATTCTGAGTTGGTGCATAGGTGTAGATTTAAGCTTTACGGTTCGGCTAGAAATTTAATAGTCGCTAGAGTTAAAATTGCTAGCATGCTTTGTTTAAAGTTAAGGTTAATATTTTGTTATGCTTTTTATATTGTTTAGTAAATCGAAAACAGCCTGTTAGAGTGTTGCAGTGCAAAATTAATTATTAATCTTTTATTTTTCTGAAATAACCTTGTTCGCTTGAGTAAGCTCCACAGATCTTGTGTGTATATTAGTATATAACAGAAAGGTTTGGAATGGTTGTTAAATGTTATCGTGTTCACACACACATACTCACGCAACACACACACGCTCATTCACACACTAATACATACTGACAAGAGTGCAAAATTGGGCTTTCCGACACAGGAAGGGGAAAAACGTAGAGATTTGTCAAAAGTCAATTACAATACTGCCCCCTACATTTAAATAAAGAAAAATGGTAAAAAAAAACAGTATATTACATTGTATATTTGAAAGGCTAAAGTGTCTTAAATATTTTATTCACTAACCCTGTCCAGAGTTTCTTCCAGGCATCTCTTCGGGGGGTGCGAAGCCCCCCCGAAAATTTTTTACCGCCCCCCCCCCCCCGAACGAAATGAAATTTATATAATTTTTATAGAAAATATATACTTTTAACAGTGTCCGCCCCCCCGAAGAAAGTTTACCGCCCCCCCCGAAGATTTCAAGTGCCCCCCCGGAGAAAAAAGTCTGGAAGAAACACTGACCCTGTCCCTAGCGTATCTCAGGGGTTTTACGACAAGAATGAATGCTTAATGATTAACTAAACATCTGAAGCAATGCCCAAAAATTGACACTTTCCCACCCAACATCTAAGCTTCCCGAACATATTCTCAAATTTCCTATTATCGAAAACAAACCATCCAATCCACTTTGCAAACAAAATGGTATTAATCATTATTTATTTGTTTGCCAGAAAAATTGAGAATTCGCGTATGATTTCAGTAAAAGAAACTCCATTGAGCATCGCTGGTTGACCTCATACTTTGACCTCGCCCCTATCCTCTTTCTGCCACTACACATCCATCACTACCATGGCAAGCACTAACAAACATTTCTAAATGTAAGCAAACATTGTTTCAAAAGGTTACGTTTAATAATATTTCATTGTCTAAAATTAAAATGAGTAAGTATTATATTGCTGTGTCCAGAAGAAACCACATTTAAAAGTTCTGAACTAACAAAAATATATTTTGACAATCGTAAGCGGTATTAAATAATTGCACTCACAGTCTTTCATATTTAAAATCAGTGGATAACATCGATAGAAGCGTTTAGATAATTAGAAATTGAAACAAAATTTAAGCAATGTTTAAAGCTTTTGAGATGGAAGCGTCCATCAGGAAACCAGAAAAGGTGTTGATCACGTGATAGACTGGCACAGTTGAAGGCTTCAACAAGGCATCATCAGCCTCCAACAGCAACACTGCCGATAATAATAAATAATAATAATTAAACTAATTGTGTTATATGAAAAGTTTAAGTTATAAACGAAGTGATACTTTAAAGTTAGTTTTTAAAACAAATTTTACATATAGATTATAGCAAAAATAAATGACAAAATAAAATAAATTGCAAGTCTATCAAATCCAGTATTTAAAAATAAATAACTGGCTATCGTTAAACACATCTCACGCAACCCAAGAATGGATTTAGGATTTGAGGTTGGAAGTTTCGAATTTAATAACTTAAAAGTCAACCTACCAACGAGGGACAACTCTCGATTTGTATTTTTGTACAGGGAGACATCTTTTGTTTTTTTAATTAACAAGCGACAAACTCAGTTCTTTCTCGTTGCTAGCGGCGCCGTGAATTCTGAAAAAGTATAAACCAGCCTGTATATAATAATGTAATTCTGAATGATAAAAGTGCAGTTCATGAAAACGTGCTAGATTTTTATAAATTAAAATCACAATTTTTTAATAAATTAAAATATTCACATGAGTTCTCTTCCTGCCATGTTACTAACCAAAAACTATTCACGCGCGTCCACTTGCATCGTCAGCATTTATCAATGAATGTTTAAAATAACCTGTTTTTACTAGCTATCGGATACCATCTAATGTTTATTGATGCGACTTACGAGTTTATCGTGCTAATTTTAAATTCGTCATTTAAACATTTTAATAAAATTCAGATTAATCATGATTTACTATGTTTGTCACAGACTGTATTATTATATATCATTATTATATTGTGTTTTGCATGAATGAAGAGTACCTGGCTAGCGGAAGGACTGTCTGAGCGATCGTCATGTGTTTTTTCATGCTTTTGGGTGAGATCGCTCATTGACGTAAGGGGAGAGAAAGTGGTGAATAAAAGAGAGAGCGAAAGGTGAACGGGTGTTGTGTGCTAGGACTTGGGACTGGAACGATGGCAGTGAATGTAAGATGTCTCCATGACTTGGAGTCGTGATTATTATTTGTACCTATATCAGTTGATCTTCAAATATGGATGTACCACGGATTTATCTGTACATAGTGTAAATAAAGTTGTCATTTGAAGTTGCCACTGTTGCTCGTGTTCCTGTATGAAAGCTAACCCACAACAACAAAGAATACATGTTGTTACATATGGTGTCAGAAGTGGAGGCAATAAAGTGATGTTGCTACATTGTATTACTGTTACTTATGATGTCACAAGTGGTTGAAGAATTGGTGCTACATATGTCAGAAATGGAGATATTACAGTCTGTGGTCTTCCACTGTTTACCAAGTACGTCAAGTTCTTGAAAGTCATCTATCTACACTCAAGTCAGAAGGGTTGCTGTAGTCAAGTCAGACGTCTTGTTCAAGTCAAGTCATCAACGTGATAATTTTTATCACCTTATTTCGATATTGTCTCACCAATGTCGAGTAAATATCGTCTGTGTATTTTTTCTGTTTGGATTTAGCCGATCAAGTCTTAGTGTTTCTTTTCTACTGTTTGGATTTAGCTGTTCAAGTTTTTTCTATATGGATTAGCTGTTCAAGTTTTTCTACTGTTTGGATTTAGCAGATCAAGTTTATTTTTGTAACTGTTCCTAAACTGTTCCTAAAGATGTCTTATCTAAAACTGGACAAATTTCTACTCTGTAACAGGCTACTAGAACTATTTTGAATTTTTTCAACTTTTTGGAATCAACAAAGTGAACTATTTTTGTACTATATATGTACTATGAACTTTTCTTGGATTACTAGATGTCTCTAATCAACTGAACAAAGCCAGAATACAAGAAAGGGTATTGTAAATTAATTAACATTTATCTATTGTCAACTAATGAATTTATATTTTATGTCATAGAAAATATATCAAAATGTCATGTTTTGAAGAATATCTAGCACTAGCGAGGGCGCAAGGCATTAAGAAGATGAATAAGCAGATAGCCTGGGCAACCAATCGACTTGAAAAAGACATAGAAGAAGCAAAAGAAGCATGGGACGAAGTACCAGAACAACCCCGACGAGCTCATGGAAATGTATTGAGAGAACTAGATGATATGATAGAAATAGTGTGTAATAGATCAAGAGCTATTACAGACATGCATAAAGAAGAAGACATTTCAGAATTAGATAAAGTAGAAGAGACTGTACAACCAAAAGGAAAGCGGAAAAAAAGAAACAGAAAACAGAGAGCAGATAAAAGGGCTGAAACTATGGAAAAACAAGTTGGCCTACATGAACTAGCATATGAACAAGAACTATTAGAAATGAAAGCTATAACAGACACAAATGAACCAAAATTAGAAAGTGAACAGACAGAATTTAAAGCAGAACTTGAAGAAGTAAATATTGGCAACCTTTGGAATGAAGAACAGAGTAACATAGTCCAGGAAGAATTGAAACCCAAGGATAAAACAGAGGGTGAACTTAATAATGATTTAAAGGTGACAGATACATTAGAATGTCTTAAGATTGACTCTTTATTAAATGATACGCAGGTACACGAGAATATTATTGAAAGTTGTATCACAAGTCCATCAGAGAATGGCAGTCAAAATGATTTAATAAGCCCATCAGTGAATGGCAGTGATGATTTAATAAGTCCATCGGAGAATGGCAGGAATCATGATAAACTAATGATGATTAATGAATCAGTGAACTTAATAAGCCACAATGAAGAGAACGTACCTATTGAAGATTTACTTCGAAAATTGGAGTCAAACTATAAAGAAGATATACTAGAACTCAATAAAAAATTTAACAAAGAAATGGAGAAATTAACCCAGAAATTTATGTGTGAATTAGAATCAATAAAGAAGCATAAGGAAGTTAAGAAAGATGAAACAATATCTACAAATTACAATGTTAATAAAAATGCACAGAATGAAAGTAAAAGAAATGTAGCAAACTATGAATACAGTCAACATGTTAATAAGAATGTCATTAATGTCATTAATGCACAGAATGAAAGAAAAAGAAATTTAGCAAACTATGAATACAGTCACCATGTTTATAAGAAGCCAAAATCTAGATGTTTTTACTGCGGAAAAATAGGTCATTACCAAAATCAATGTTGGCATAGGTTGGCAAATCAGAGAAGAAACAATTATTATGTACAAAGAAAGTCATGTGGGAAATACAGTCATTTAAGAAATAATGTATCAAGTTCTAATGAAAGATACCGAAGCAAGATGTATTATGAGAGGCCAAAGCAATGCCATAATATTTATATTAAGTTGATTGATGAACCAAACGAAGGTACACAAAGTAAGAAAACAACTGACGTTGTTCAGAAACCAGAAGAGAATATTAAAACAAATGAAGTAACACAAGTTACACGAATTCTAGGAAATAATTATGGTAACAAAGCTAAAAGATACACATACAATTTGAGGGAGAGATGGCATACAGGTCATCGTCAACTGCACGAGAACGATTACTCATGCTATAGAGGATGCTAAGATAAATTATCAATTGACAGTTTATTAATATTATACAGTCTGTAACTGTAATATATAAATATCAAATAATGTGTTTGAGTAAACATAAATTGTGTACTATATCTAAAGAATGTAAACTGTATTATGTTAAACCTATTCTATACTATTAATTAACAGTGAATAAAGTAAATAAATAAAAGTTAGAGACTATTTATTCCGCATAACAATAAGACGGAAGTCTCAATGATGTATTGTGTATTAGTCAATACCTGTGTAAGGCAAGAATGTGATTGTGTTGTGACCTAGATTTGTCTGAAATGGGTCAACTAGGGGAGACAACAAAGTATATTAATCATGCGTCGTAATAACATGCCTTGATGATAAGGAAGTTTTTTTACCACATAGGATATAGTTATTTAAATTATGAGTTGAATCAAGTCTTTGATAATTTCAACTATATATTATAGTTTGGTAATTTACTAAACTCATTGATCTTGTTTATACTACAATTACTGGGTAATTGAAATGTTTTTCTTTCTCATATTTGAATATATTACACATAATGCTTGTGCATTAGTCTACAAAGAATGTATTTTCCATGTTTTTTGAGATGTATAAAAATTTTTGTTGTCTGGCACATGGTCCTGCCCTACCAATATTGTATTTATAAATTTTGTTACACAAAATTTTATTCGAAGGGGGGACGTGTCACAGACTGTATTATTATATATCATTATTATATTGTGTTTTGCATGAATGAAGAGTACCTGGCTAGCGGAAGGACTGTCTGAGCGATCGTCATGTGTTTTTTCATGCTTTTGGGTGAGATCGCTCATTGACGTAAGGGGAGAGAAAGTGGTGAATAAAAGAGAGAGCGAAAGGTGAACGGGTGTTGTGTGCTAGGACTTGGGACTGGAACGATGGCAGTGAATGTAAGATGTCTCCATGACTTGGAGTCGTGATTATTATTTGTACCTATATCAGTTGATCTTCAAATATGGATGTACCACGGATTTATCTGTACATAGTGTAAATAAAGTTGTCATTTGAAGTTGCCACTGTTGCTCGTGTTCCTGTATGAAAGCTAACCCACAACAACAAAGAATACATGTTGTTACAATGTTGATGAAATACATTTTAACATGTACTTACTATGCCGTATCTGAAAAGTCGAGTACTGTTGTTATAGTCGTCTCCAATATTAAATACATCTACATCTTCAAACAGAACATCCAACTGTTTTGAAAACCCGATTCTGATTGCGACCGATTCAGGTTGACTGGAATTTGTCTTTTCATTTTTAACTAACACTACCTTTGTCTCTATCAATCACGGCAGGTTGTTCTGGTTTCATGTTTGCTAACGTGAAAATAATTATTATAAGACATGATAGCTTTCAATTACCAAACACATTAAGTTTTGAAATATTATAAAAATACGAAATCCAATAGTAGCTTAAAAATGTGGCCTTTCTCGTTATTTTAACTCTGAAAAAAAAACAACCTACAGTTTTTAGCCTACGTAAGCCTATATGTGATTAGGTTAAAAATGATAAAATGGTCGTCTTTGGAAAAGTAAGTAAAAACATACAACTTGTTTCAGAAGAATTAGGTTTACCTCGTTAGAAGTCTAATTTTGGTGAATTTCGAACAGAAATAAAACATAACTGTATCATCTCTGCCGCCAACTTGATTACACTATAGTAGTCTCTGAAATTCAAAACAAAAGAAAACTACACGATTTGCTGCTTTGAAATCAGTTTAAAAAAATATTTGGCTTCAAAGGCTTCCTGATGCAGCCTCGCGTTAAAAAAAAACGAGTTGCGTTAACCAAAAGTAATCTATAACTAGATTATAGCATAGGATCAACTCCTTCAATTATTTAACCTAAGTTACTTGGAGTTTTTTTCCCAAGGATTTGATGGAAATGGGGTAGGGGGGCAGGGTTAATGTCTAGGGGCGTTTTTTGACCAGGCACCAGCCCTATGCTACAAGACTTCAGATATAATAGCATAATATCTTAAAGATATTTCTATTACTGACATTATTATACAGTTAAACTAATTTTTAATTAAAATTAAACAAACAATGAGCAACATGCGATTTTTAAAATGATGGGTTATTATTATTTGTTTCTTGTATGTCTAGACCAATTTAAACAAAAGAGAATGAGCCTAATTAAAGTCCCGAGTTTAACATAAAAGCCTTGCCCTAAGTTCTGAACATGGTTAGAGGCCGGATTTAAATTTTAACATCCTCATCTTATATGTATAATCCTACTAATGAAATCAGCTTTGATTTGTAATAACATTTGTGCAGCTTACCTGATGATGTCTGTATCGATACCGCAATATCACCATTTACATGTATATAGTTTTGTCAATATCGACACTCGAAGATTGAACCCTGAAATTAACCGTTATTTTATTCTTTAATGCACCACAAGTCATTTTACTGCTATGAAGATAACCAAATTAAAATACATGCGTATGTTATAATCATTCTATTTTTTAGTATGTAGTCTCTTTTTTGCGTTGTCAGCAGAGTTTCTTCCAGACATCTCTTCGAAATGAAATTTATATAATTTATATAGAAACTATATACTTTTAACAGTGTCCGCCCCCCCCCCCGAAGAAAGTTTACCGCCCCCCCACCCCCCCCCCCGAAAATTTCAAGTGCCCCCCCCCCCCCCCCGGAGAAAAAAGTTTGGAAGAAACACTGGTTGTCAGCAAACTAAATATCTTCAAAATATCAGCAATACTTACAGTTTCAGTGTAAGTTTGTCTTGAAAGCATTAATGCAGTTTATTTTTGGTGTGCATCAACTTCTCGGCCACAAAACAAGAAATACAAAAGCACCTCACACGCTGAAGGTGATGTGACTAAGTGAAACGACTGCGTTACGGAGAATTTTTTATCTCCGGAAAAATACGTCTAAAAATATGTATCGTGATTTTATTCTGCCTAAAAAAAATAAGCGAAAAAAAACCGGACTAGAAACTCGATTTATCCTTAACAGAATCGGTAAATTCACAAAATTCTTTAATGTTACATCGTTGATTGTTTTCGGGTCGTCCACATGTTAAAGTATATATTTTCTTTATCAATTATATATTATTTCTATTTCGTTCGGGAATGGGGGAGGGGCAGTGGGGGAGCCGGAGGTTTTCCCGAGTGGACACTTGCCCGAATCTGACAAACGCCCGAATGCACTTTTTCATTCGGGCAAGTGTCCGTTCGGAAAAAAATTGGTCTTCGGGCAATCGGCATTCAGGCAAGGATCTATCGGGAATTTTTTTGGACTCGATAGTGGGCGTACTATAAGGGAATGGGGAGAGTGACCCCTTGATTAGATGCCTAAAATAAAATCTGTTTAGGAAATAATTGTTAACAGCCGGAATAATTGAACTATAGACAATACAGATTTTAATTTTGTTGTTAAAATTTAAAATTAAAAAAAAATACTACAAATATATCATATCTCTACAGGCATAATACAGTCAGTAAGTATATACTCTATTGTTGAAATATCCAATAAAGCTGTCGATTGCTAAAAGTCTATGATTTCAAAATAAAAACTTTTGATTTTTAATTTCACTTTAACCTTGTCCAAATTAATTATATGATCGAATTTTCGAAAAATTCGCCATTGTTATAAAACAATATATATATATATATATATATATATATATATATATATATATATATATATATATATATATATATATATATATATATATATATATATATATATATTTATATATATATATATATATATATAAATTTATTTATTTATTTATTTATTTATATATATATATACTTTTCCATAGGTATGTTATGTATCAATCAATCTAATATATAAAAATCAATTCTTTATGTTTTTACTTTCTCGTATATACGTAGTATAGAGAAAGTATTGTAATCGTGCAAAAAAAAAAATCGAGATTTTTACAAATCTCGACGTTTTACACCTCACTGATACGGAAAAACATAATTTTGCAATCTTGTCCGTATGTCTGTGTGTGTGTGTGTCTGTCTGTGTGTGTGTCCGTGTGTAAACACGATAACTTGAGTACCGTTACAGCTAGGTTGATGAAATTTCATATATAAGTATTTTATCAAAATCGTAGATCCGTATCAACTTTTGAGCGATTTCCGATAACCGGAAGTGGTACTTTTCCTACTTTGAATTTTTTAAAAGCCTATAACTTGAGTACTATTTCAGATAGATAAATGAAATTTCACATGTAAGTAAAAGATCTAATTCTCTACCTTCTGTTAAATTTTGAGTAATTTCCGTTGACTGGAAGTAGTAATTTACGCTACTTCCGATTTCTCAAAAAACTAATGTAAATTTTAAAAGTACTAATAATATTGCGCACTATTATGCGCTTTTTTTATTTGCGTTCACTTGGTGTGCAATTAATTTGTCTACGAGATTTTATTCTATTTTTAAAACTTTAAGTATTTAAAATGGATTAAAAATCATGTCTATAGCCCGAGTTTCCATCCCCTGTTATTTTATATAAGAATATTCGAGAAAGTTTAGGGGAGATCACTCCCGGTTTATTTTCTAAAATGTTTGTAAAATGTTTGTCGTGGATTACAAAGGCATATAAGAAAAAACAAAAAAAAAACGATACTTCGTTGGATTCAAGTTGTTAGATTATTAAAGCGCTCATGGTCTAAATTTATGAGTTAAAAATTACTATTGAAAGTCTTTAAAACCAATTTTCATTTTATATACTTAGAATGATAATTTTCAATTATGAACATTACATAAAATTAAAAAAAAAATTTATCAGCGTTTATAAAATTTCTAAAATTGTGTCTGAAATGTATTTGCATTTTGTCCTTTAGTTCTCATAACGTCCCTAGATTTGGAAAACACAGTTACTTCCCTTAAAAAAACCCATTAAATCGGAGGGAGAACGAATTTACTTTTTATTACTTTGTTTTGGTGTTAGGAAAAAAAATAACATACTTAGCGGGGACTGATTAAGTGCAATGTTGTAGGTATTTTTAATACTGCCTTTTATTTATTTAATACACTGAACTTACTGTTTACTAATTATTTTTTGAAATCAATAACAGTTAATAAGCAAGGTCCTACATGTCCTATATGTTTATTTCTTTACGTTTACGGATAAGCTTGGAGTATTATAATTGTTCATTAAATTGAAATAGGCGCGTCCGCCGGCGCCCCACCAGGGTTCAATTTGGCGCCCTGGGCTATCATGTGAACGCTATGGTGTATAATTTTACTTTAAACAGTGCGATAGAGTATGGATAAGAAAGGTTACTATAGTCTTTAAGTGAATCGAATCCGGCACTACTCAGGCGCTCAGACCGGGTGTTATTTGGGGCCCCGGGCATTCCTGTGTTCGGTTTGGCGCCTATGTTCGTTTTTAGTGAGTGCAAAAGACTATGAATAAGTGGGGGTATCATAGTCGTTTATTAAGCTGAAACAGGCGATTCCGCCGGCGCCCCAGCACGGTATGATTTGGTTTTGCGTTAGTGGATGGGTTTGCGTTTTGATTTGGTTCGTATTCGTTCTTTCTTTTTCGTTTTCGTTTGTGTTTTTTTCTTTGTGTTTGTATTTGTATTTGTATTTGTGTTTGTGTTTGTGGTTGGTTTTGTGCTTTCGTTTGTATTTGTGGTTGGGTTTGGGTTTGTGTTATCGTTTGTATTAGTGTTTGCGTTTATGTTATGTTTCCTTTCTTTAGTTTTGTTTTGGTTTTGGTTGGTTGTGGTTAGGGTGGGCAATGCCGGGTATATCCCGATTATTAAACACACATGTCATGTTTCGTAACAGATAGGTTTCAGAAAGCTATTTTATAGACACCTGCACCAAACTAAAAGAAGATATACAATTTTAATATAGCCGTCCCGGTTTGTGTTGTGTTGTGTTTTTGTTTGTGTTCTGTTTTGTTTGTGTTGTGTTTTGTTTGTGTTGTGTTTTGTTTGTGTTGTGTTGTGTTTGTGTTGTGGTTGTGGTTGTGGTTGTGGTTGTGGTTGTGTTGTGTTTGTGTTGTGTTGTGTTGTGTTGTGTTGTGTTGTGTTGTGTTGTGTTTGTGTTGTGTTTGTTTGTGTTATGTTCGCGGTTCTTTTTTTTTGTATTGGTTTTGGTTGGTTGTGGTTAGGGTGGGCAAGGCCGGGTATATGCTGATTACAACAACACACATGTCAAGATCCTTTACTGATAGGTTTTTCACAGAGGCCAGAGCAGGGCCTGGCCGGGACGGCTAGTATCAAAAGAAAGCGTGTTTATTCTTACAAATTCAATGACTAAAAGGCGATTTTTTTTTTTAAATATAAAAAATACATACCATTAACTTCCATGCAGATAAAAAATAAAGGCCTCGAACAATTGTTATCGTTTAGCGTCCCATCTTCATATATTTCAAGACAGTTTTCATTGTCGTTAAGGTTGTTTGGTTCTTTTTCTTTCCACATTGATGTTAGATCAGCTATTGTCCCATCTGTCCACAACCATTCACCTTCTTTTAGTTGGTCACTAGCTCCAACCCACACTTATGGAAGAAAGAAATCTACATATATCGCACAAGTTGATAAGTTTACTGAGCTACTAATCCGCTGTTACTTTTAAATACGCCATCAACATTGGTCTTATTTTAGTTTTATTGATCAGTAATGGAAAATTAAAGCAAATATATATACATATATTCCTCCTTAGACTTGGCGATCCACTGGGCAGGTGAAGTATAAGTACGTATCTTTCATGACCTCGACATATGAAGGGAAGGCATGGTTAGCACTATGCCGAGCTAGGCACCCATTATTATTTTACTCAAGAACGTTCACTGATTTGAGCCCAGATTCGATCTCAATACGCTCAGGTTAGCAGTTTAGCGCTCTATCGCTTGACAACGTCGTCCCACAATTGGAAATTCGCTTGACGTGAAACGACTTGTATTTCGAAATCTTCTTCTTCTTCGTTCTTAATTTTTAGTGTTGGAAGGGATCAAGCCTTATCTGCTAGAGGGTTTGAACTCGAGACTTTTTTCGAATTTATTAACCATGAGCTTTTGCCGACGCAACCACGCCTCCATCACAAATTAGGATACGTTTCAACTGGTTATGCGCAATTGAGGCCATTGACTGCGATTTCAGCCTGCTTTTCTTTTTGGATTTGCTTCCATAGTCTTTGTCCAACCAAGAACAAACTACAAGGCAGCAGCTATTTGATTTTGGGGTTGTCTCTACTAAAATATGGGCAAATCCCTAGCTAACGAGCCTCATCGGTCCGAGGGTTCGAACTCGAGACTTTTCGGTTTAGCAACAATGAGCTTTACCGGCTCGACCCCTTGAAATAATTCATAGGGTCATCAGTTCTATTTAACACGAACAGCTTTTTGACATCTTTGATAAAAAATAGAAAATGAGACGAAATGCAGCAACTTTGTACATACAACTACTGTCTACACTGAATAGGACAAAGGGAACGAGAAGTTCCCAATACTTTGTTCCGTTTCGGATACAGGCTAGTACAAAACAAGTTACCTCGAAATAAGAAATGTGTAATTATAAGCCTATATATATATATATATATATATATATATATATATATATATATATATATATATATATATATATATATATATATATATATATATATATATATATATATATATATATATATATATATATTGCTTCCTTTTTAGACGAGGTCAAATAGATTAAAAAAAAGTTACGCCTTGTTTTTTATTTCTACACGGAAATGCATTCAAGTATCAAAGTATAAAACTGTCTCATTTTTCTCCCCCTCCTTCCTTTCTACCCCCACCCCACCCATCAGTCAGACATCGAACGACTTCACAACAGATCACCTACAACATTGCCATATGATATTCCATATAATAATTACAAAAAAACATAAAAAGAATACATTCAAAAAAGCCTATATTCATATCCTCTTTAATCCAATAATTACTTTGAGAGAATTATAGAACATATTAAAAAATGATGTTTTGCTAATAAATATCAATTAATAATAAACATAAAATAATAAATATAATGTCCAACACATCCAATCGCGGTCATCTTTTAGCCCTCGTCGAAACCGACAGTTATTGATCTAGCCATTTATCTAGGAGCATGCACAATATGAACATGATGTACAAAGGGTAAGTACCCTAAAATATTAGTTGAAGTTACCATCTGTTTTTCACATAAAATACAAGGATTATATAGGAAATATGACTGGTTTTGATCCATTTCTAGATTTTTTCCGGACATGGACATTTTTTTCTGACACCCTCAGGCGTTCTTCTACCCCGTACAAAATATCAAGGGGGTCGTTCGACAAAAGTTTTATTTCTTAATATAGCTCATATAAGGCGCCGGTCAGTCGAGGTCAGTTTTGACCCCATCTTCGTAGACTTTTCGGCCAACCGGCACCGGCCCCCGTGTTATATTGCCCCAAGGCAAGATCGTGCCAAATTAGAAGCGCTTGAGGCTCTGGGAAGTGCCCTATCGAGCACTCAAGCAGTTTGCTTTATAAAGGCCTAAATAGCTACACAACAATGAATTAAACATTAATACATTACTTAGCAGTCACGTCCAAGCATCAAATAATATGATGATTTGTACAATTTTTAATGTATTTTCACTTCAATCCACTTCAGTGGACTGTATTTCGTGATTATCGGTTCTGTGAAAATTGCAACTGATGTCACCCACAACATTCACCTTATATATATATATATATATATATATATATATATATATATATATATATATATATATATATATATATATATATATATATATATATATATATATATATATATATATATATATTATATATATATATATATATATATATATATATATATATATATATATATATATATATATATATATATATATATATATATATATCCTTAAATAAAACTGTTATTATGAAGCCTCTTGCAATGTGGTCAGTGAAATAATGGACTGTTTAGCCCAGGTGTCTATGTTGGGCTATTTTGTGCAAGCTTTCTAATGAGCAGTGGCGTAGCGAGGTCGGGTGTCACCCGGTGCGGCACTTAATGGTGTCACCCCCCCCCCCCCAGAGGCATAGAGACCCTTCCCAGGGACAAACTTTCAAATTTTCGATTTGCACCCCCCCCCTCAAACTTTCGATTTGCACCCCCCTCAAGTTTACGATCTGCACCCCCCTCAAACTTTCGATTTGCACCCCCCCTCGAGTTTTTCTCTATATATTTTGCTATTTTTTGCCTTGGTGTCACCCCCCTAAATGGTGTCACCCGGTGCGGTCCGCGCCCCCCGCCCCCCCCCCCTCGCTACGCCCCTGCTAATGAGTACTCTAAACAGCCCGGATACCTCTCATTACGATACTTTATTATTCTAATTTTTGCTTACCTCGTGTTTTATCTGGTCTGATTTTATTTACAAAGCCCAACACTTTTTTGAAGAAACTTTGGCCAGGCTTGTTTTTTCATTTAAATTTTAGCAGTAATCCTTCAAATAAACAAGTTCACAATACAATGTTTTCATTAATGTTTTATGCTCTGATAAAATTTTCCTAGACAGGTAATTAAATACATCAGAACTATAAAATCAGTGATTATGTAAATATATTATCAAGGCTTTAAATATAATTTACTGTAACTAGACATAATATCCTAAATTACCTGCGCTTCAGTCCAATTCAATTCTGTTTTGATTACCTCATAGCAGTTGCTTTCAAACTTCCCAGCCTTTTTGCTCATACACTCTGCTGGAGTTTTAGAATAAAATTTAAAAAAAATTAAATCCTCAATGTTATGTATAAGCTATATAAAACAAAATGAGAGACTGGGTTTTGTTGATGTGGGGTAGGGGGAATGAGTGGATGTTAGGGGAGGATCAAGTTTGGGCAAGGTCCCCGACGCCCCCATATCGCCATATATATATATATATATATATATATATATATATATATATATATATATATATATATATATATATATATATATATATATATATATATATATATATATATATATACGTGACATATTTTGTCTGGGATATTTTGTCTGAGATCATTTGTCCATGTTATCATTTGTCCTGATTTATTTTGTCGTGAGATCATTTGCCCGTGAGATATTTTGTCTAAGATCATTTGTCCTGCGATCATCTCTTCTGTGTGTGTATTTGTGCGTGTGTGAGTGTATGTGTGATTATTTAAAATAAGCATTATGTTAAGCGTATAATATTGATTATATGTTAATTACAACTACTTTTAGCACTTTAGGCATTTTCAAAATGTAAAACATGTTTTGATAAGATTGAGTGGTTTTTTGTTTCTCTGAAACTAGGTAATCAACCAAATTGTGCGCCAAAAAAAGAAGTTCTTTTATTTTGGGCAGCGCCGCTGTAGGTTAATAGTTTTTGAAAAGAAGGTAAAAGAATCTGATTTCAGCATTAGAGAGTCTGCATTTTAAAACTCTTTTTTTAACGAGAACAACTCATATTTAGTTGCCTGTGTTTGGTAAAAACAATAACCTGTTATTTAAACATTCCAACATTCACTTAGCTTAATAACTGCAGAAAATATACGATTTAACTTGGGGCTCCTAAAAATAAGGGGCCCTTAGATTTTGCTCTCTCACTACCCAAAAGCTAATACGTCACTAGCGGACGCCCTTGTGTGTACTTTTTTTTATCGATGTTAAGCAAAAGAATATGTTGTTAAAATACTTACCTTGTGTACAGATGTGCTGTGCGACAAAAAACAACAACGTGCATGTGTAAATCTTCATTGCGTTGGCCCACAACATAACGATTTCAATACAACTTGATTCAAGCTACACTGAATTACATAGACCTTGTAATAATTAAATCTAAAAAAAAAATATAAAAATGCATTTTTAAAAAAATAATGTGATGTAAAAGTATTTGTGCATAAAAATGTTAAATTAAAGTCTAAAATGTAAACAACAAATGTCTAAATTATTTCTGATGGAGGACAATTTAAAAAAAAAATCTGTCAGATGTGCATATATTATTGCAATTATTCATTTAGCTATTATATTTATACAACTTCCATTTGTATTAGCAACGTTATTATCGCGTATTTTCGATTTGTAAGTATTATAATTTTAAGTAATAAAACCCAAGTGAAATGGAGAAAATAGTTAACTCTAGAAATAAATTCAATACTTTTACTCATTTAGACATTACAGTTATACAAACATATCAAGAAACGTGTTCTTCTACCTGTTTGGAGATGTATTTTTTAATAAAATCTTTTTTGTCTGAGCTACATCATTTTGGTGTGAGTTACTTTATACTTATGTGTCTAGGACTTGATACAGGATACGACACATTCCTAAGGCGCCACGTGCTGTTTAGACGCCACTTATTGAGGAGAATACAATCTATGTATTGCTTTGTTAGATGTCGAAATGATTAGGATATTAATGATGCGCATTATAATGAGTTAGGGACAGAGGCGTAGCGACCCTTCCCGGCGCCAGGGGACAAACTTTCGATTTGCACCCCCCACCCTCGAACATTTGATTTGCACCTCCCCCTCAAACTTTCGATTTGTTTTTCCAACACATTTCGGCGCCCCCCCCCCCTAAGGTCGGCGCCCAAGGACATAAGTCCCCCCCCCCCCGCCCCCCCCCCCCCTCTCGCTACGACTCTGGTTGGGGAGCGCTCATAAAGCAGTTTTCAAACAGGATTTGAAAATAAATTTTTATCTCACACTTATATATAAGAAATTCTTGAAAGTGGCCAATTTTAATTTTTAAGATCCCAATCATTAAAAAAAACTATACATGGATGACCCTACCTTTGTTTGGAATCAGATGTGATGGCTTTATCGTATGCTAAATCTGTCATCTGACGACATGAAATTAACTTGCACAAGGCCGGTACTGTCCTAGAGGCTGAATGACGTCGTACGACTGAGCTATCCCAGTACGCCAGCCCTTGCAAGATTCTAGGTACGACTGAACTATCCCAGTACGCCAGCCCTTGCAAGATTCAAGGTACGACTGAACTATCCCAGTACGCCAGCCCTTGCAAGATTCAAGGTACGACTGAACTATCCCAGTACGCCAGCCCTTGCAAGATTCTAGGTACGACTGAACTATCCCAGTACGCCAGCCCTTGCAAGATTCTAGGTACGACTGAACTATCCCAGTACGCCAGCCCTTGCAAGATTCTAGGTACGACTGAACTATCCCAGTACGCCAGCCCTTGCAAGATTCTAAGTTGTGAAGTGTTTGGAAGTATAAGCTAAGACTGAAATAACTACACTGTATTTGACATTCAACGATAGACACAGGACAATACCTGACGAGTAGATAGGTACAGCGTAGAACAAAACGCCTCATAAACATAAACGCCTCAAGTTAGTAAATCATTGAGCGCTACTATCACTGAGTTCGCCGAATTTTTTTCAATTAAATCTTTTAGCTCTATTTCAATAAAATGTACTTTTAAATAAGTGTTAAAAAACAATTGTCACATCAGACGTTTTATTCATGAAAAATTTTGAATTTTAACTTTTAAAATATTATTTTTTAATGCATCGATATCTTCAACATCACAGTTAGGGTGTGTGGTTGGAGGACTAAGTTGAGATTAATAACTAATTAAGCTCACCAGGCGATAGACAACTCTTGCTTTATTCTACTGCACTGTGAGACTACTTCTGTTCTATTCTTAACAAAAGGCAGCTTGAGTTCTTTCCCTTTACCAGCATCGTCAAGTATTTGGAAGAAATATAAAAACTGCCTGTATAATAAATTTAAATGTATAATATAAAATTACAGTTGGTGAGGTGTATACATGAGACGGACGTAACGAGCAATGCGAGCGAGGAATGTGGTAGGCTTGTAACAAAAAAAAATACAATCATAGATAGCCCAGACTCACTGAAGATTAATATCTAAAAGGATTGCTTGTGCAGAATAATAACATCATTGTTGAATTTGGAAAGTTAGTCAGAGGTATTTTCGTAACATTAACAATAGCATTGCTGTTTTGTTGAGTCTTTGTGCGTGCGTGTGTGTGTGATGTGTGTGTAAGTGTGAGCTTGCGTGCGTGCGTGTGTGTGTGTGAGAGAGAGAGAGATAGAGAGAATCTGTTCACTTATATTTGCAATTAAGTTTTGTGTATTTATTTATATAGGCCTAGTGCTTTGTATAATAAATTAAAGAAAATAACTAATGCAAATAAATTTATAAACAAAAGCACATCTAATTTTTTCAACGTCAAAGCATTCAGTCGTATTCCTTCACCACTTATACCATAAAGCTAAAACTACGTACACGATTCCCCCTGCATTTGTGATTTTTTCTTAAATCTTTTTTTCATACTACTCTAAAAACTTCCTACTTTTCACCATGTAACCTGCATTTAACATTGAGCTTCTATGCACGATACTGTAATAAAAAACTATTATTCTTTAAATGGGTTCATCGTCAGATTCACGAAGAGTAGATACACATGAGGACTGTAGTTGAGACTAGCTCAGAATGGAGGTGTCTACAACGCTCTTGCACCTACTTTGTTTCATCCGAAAACACCAGAGCAGCTATCTAAGTCGTCTCCATTATTCGATACAGTTTTATTATTACGACAGCTTTTTTCAACAGGACCTCCAACGGTTTAGATAACCCGGCTATAAATTCACCGATTCCAGTTTCATGTAATGTGTTGGCTGTTTCTCAAGCATTGGAATTCTCTGCTCCTGCAAGGAAGGGATCATTAAGTGCTGGTAAGGTCTAGTCTGCTAATGTGAGAACAATATCATCAAGACACAAGCAGCTTTGAGCTATCAAACAAGTTAAGTATGAAAAATATTATCAAAAGCAGAATTACAAAGATCGCTTAAAAGCAATAATAGAATGGAAAAATAGCACGAATTTGTATTTATTCCTTACAAATAGCAGTTACAAAACCTGTCAGTATCATGCGGTCGACTGAATCAGATTTACCCTAAGCTATTTTAAACGTTTAATTATTTGACTCTAATAGTAGAGCACTCGACTGCATCCATAGGGTCTCGAGTTTGGATCTCGCTCCGATCTCGAAGCTTCAGGATGTCCCTCGGTCCACCTAGGTTTGAACGGTATCTAACATACGTTAGGAAGATTAAAGGCAGATTGACACAGTGCTGACTACTCCATCTCTCCATATAATATTAGTCTCGATAGTATGATAAATTAAAATCGAGAATATAAATACTTCAGCCTTAAGCCAAAAACTTTAATCTTAAAATATAATGTCACACTACTGCAATGTTAATAACTCTGTTAAAATATTTGAACCATAGTCTTCTTGATTTTCAGTGTGTTGCCTTTTTATTTACTTGTCGTCATTAAATAGGATGACGAAAACGTATACATTAACAAATGTAAAAACCAAAACAATAATACTCACAGTTTCAGAAAACATTTTCTGGAAATTATTTGTAGATTTTTTTTGCAGCAACAAAAATAAACACAAAAAAATCTGTCCACGCTAAGGGCTCCTTAGTAAAGAGCGTGACGCGAGTAGCTTTTAATGTATGCAGGTCGAGAAGAAAAAGCCACCCTCGACAATATTTGTACGGTATTTACAGTTTTATGTGTCGTTACGTTTTAAGCTTCAGAAAAAAAAACAGCAGTGGAAAAATCGAAAATTATAATTCAATTTTTAAAAATTCGGATATACGGCGAAATTCAGAAGAGTTAAGGTTTCTGATTCGTTCCATTTGGTATATTAATATTGAACTATATTATAAGTAAGTATGTGATAATATTTAGAATTGTATTTCTTTTGTTTGATGCTTATTTTTAATTGTTTGAAACAAACCAACCTGTAATTCAAGTTGCAGAAAATAATGCTTTATGATATTTTCACTTTTAAATGCTATATTTTAGGAGATCGAAAAATTAGAATTAGGTTTACATTACATTTTAAATGGGCTGTAGAGAACGTTTTGGAACTTTAGCGATAGAAGATTAGCTATAGGAATAATTTAACTATATAGTATATATAAAGTATAGCATATATTTTGTAAAATGAAAATGTGAAATTAGAATTTTAAATCCACAAAACTAGAAATCTGTAATTTTTTTCTGGCATACCGCAATAAATAAAGAGTTTTGTTCTAAAAATTGTTTTAACAGGAATGACCGCCCCTCCTACCGGTCACGTCAATTAAGTACATGTCAATTATCGTATTATAAAGTTAATGTTTGTGATATAACCTCCTGTTTTTAAACTAACAAGCCTGGAAAACTTCATAAACTTGGAGCGATTGTTAAAAAAACATTAAATGTAATCCCTTGTATTATATATTTCATATATTATAACCAGTAATGATAAGCATTTCTTATCTTTTCATTTTTTTACGTTTAACAAAGGAAAAATAAGTAAGCTGGCATTACTAACTTAAAAAAAAACCTAAGAAATTATTTGTATAAAATATTCTCTAGAAATAATATTAAAATAATAGAAAAACGTGAATCAATAATACTAACCAATCATTTCCATGCAAACAAATGGACGCAGTCCATCGCAAGATTCGTCGTTTAACATTCCCTCTTTGAAATATATCTCAAGACAGTATTCATTTCCCTTTTCGTTATTAGGTTCATGCGGGCCCCACAAGGAGCTTAAATTTGCAGTCGTTCCATCCGTCCACATCCATTTACCTTCATTTGTCGTGTTACTGCCTCCAATCCACACTTTGAGAAGAAAATTAATATCGAATATAAAAAAAATAAATCTAAGAAATCAAAATCTTTAAAGGAGCTACATTTTAGGGTTTGAGTAAGCTGCACCAATTAAATGTTAGGGTTGCTGTTAGAGGGTCGAGCTTCCTTTTTTTTTTGCTTTTAAATCCCAACTAAAACATGCGATCTCTTAAAAAACTATTAACTGCACTTTTTACAGTAAGTTGTCGTCTTCAATCGTGAACCCAACCGTATGATTCACAGTTCAGAGCAAGATTATCGATCGCTGGTACTTCTCTTGTTAATCCCATTTGTTTAAAATTGTTTAATTAGTTATTAATGTCTATTGTAACATCTGCTTTAATACAAAATTAGATATCATTGCGTGTCACTGAAAACGAAAGTGTCTAGAAAGTTTGAATAAAATAGCTATATTAGAAGTGTTTCAAATTTGAGTTACTAAATTTGCAACGAACCCGCACAAGCCGTCATAGTGAACTAAATAAATGCACATTAAAAACAGCTATATTTTCGAAAAGAAATTTTAAAGACAACATTTTATTAGAAAAGAAATATATTTTCTAATTTTAAAAATACTTACTGCCTTCAGAAACGTTTGGTTTTAGAGAGAATAAAAAAGACAATTCAGCCTCCGAAGAAACTTTGGCCAGTGTCCGTCTTGCGGTAAACATTGAGCAGTTTTTCTAATCACAAGCAAGCAAATATTATGTTTTGTTTTGTCGTTGATATTCGATCATACATTTCAATTTATTGTACTTTGATTATTATTAAATAACAATGTTTATGAATTGTAATTACTATTTAACATTAGTGTAAGCCATATAAAAAAAGAGCAATATAAAAAAAAACGATTAGCTTCTTAACAAGGCTCCGTACCTTACCAGAAAAAAATAGTTATATATAGTAAAAATGATAATTAAAATAGTGATAAGAGTTGTCACCGGTTGGATGGGGTTTAGGGTGAAAACATCTGACCTAGTAACGCATCTTTGGGTGACAAAAAAAAATATTTACCTCCGCTTCCTGCCATGTCGATGGAGTCTCGAACACCTCAAAGCACTTGTTCTCAAACACAACGGACGTGGGGCTGATACACGTCCCTGAAACGTTTGGATTGGCCTATAAATACCATGTATAGGCAAATAGGAGTCGTCCGTAAATTACGGCATGACTAATAATTTTTAACCCCTCCTCATCTTCGCATTTTTACATATCGTCAAAAAAGTCAGAGACCCCCTAATATGACGTCATATTGCAGCCTACAACTCTTCCCTCTAAATTTCGATTTTTCTTGTTTTTTTTTTTTAAATCTGACAGCATAGTTTAAACATTATCGCTTCGCTACTGGCTAGTTCTTAGCTCAGAAAATACATCATCTGCCAGGCTAAAAGGTTGTATCACGTTTTATAATCAATGTAAAAAAAAATTATAAATCAAGAAAGATGAATGTGGAATGATGTAATCAAACTTATAAAAGATATTTACCTTGCGAATAGACAACTTGCGCGATACAGACCAGTAATGAAACAGTACAAATCCTCATCATGGTGCGGATTTTTTTGACTTTGTAAAATTTGAAAAATAGATTTTATTATTTTAAAAATAGGATTGTAACATATATAGTTACATTTCAAATATAAGAATATGTAGCTATTTTGTATATGAAGAAATACATGTTTTTTTATTTAAAAACTGAAGAAGTATAAGTAAAGCGGGAGAGATCTCCCCTAAACTTTCTCGAACATTTTTATATATTACTACGGAGGATGGCAACTCGGTATATAGACATGAAATTTTTCAATCAAATATATTTAAAAAAGCATAGAATCTCGTAGGAAAAAGAATTGCGCACCAAATTAACAGCAAACAACGTTTTTAGAATAATGCGGAACATTGGCAATTTATAACGAAAAACTTGGTAAATTTTCAAAGAGGTAATGAATCATCTAATTAAATAACAATAGATTGCCCGTTATCCTAAGATAACTCTGGGTTTCGGGTGTTATCCATAAATAACTTTTGTTTGACAATATTTATCCTTCCCCTCCCCTCCCTACTGTCACACATTCGTCACAAAAAGCCAGACCCCACATATAAAAAGACGTCACACCACATACACGTTTTTGTCTTGCAAAAACACTGATTTCAGTCGAGCATAGGTCTGACCACAATATCCCTTTATATGCTGAAGTTACAGAAACAGGTGTACTCTAAATCACCTGCCCCGAGGTCACAACATGTTTTTGTCTTTTAAACACATATTTTAACTGAGCATGGAACGGACCACACTATCACTTCATGCTGAGGTCACAGAAATATGTGAATTCTACCTCACGTGCTCTTGCCCCCGCCAAGTCTCAATACGTCACTTTATCATTCACATCTAAAAAGAAGTCAAAACTCAGCTTTCATGTTTTATGTTCTTTCAAAAATCGATTTCTTTCTAAATTTTTTTTCTTAACTCGAACTTCATTTGAATAATCAATGAATTAATTATTAAAGCTAGCGTCAAACTAATAATGAACTAGAGCCTATCGTGTGGGTTGTGGTTTCGCACTTTGCATTTAACTTTATAATGCGTTAGCCCTTTGAATGGGCACTATGGTCTTCCTTTGAAAGGATTTTAAAATTAAATGGGTGTTTCTACAAATGAATATATCAATGTATTAATTATATTCTTGAAATAAAATTGTAAATAACATTTTTTTTGGCAAAAAGGAGCATTATTCTCTACTTAAATATGTATTTTACATTTTACGCATGGTGCAGATGCTCTCATATAACCAAACAGGCAAACGAAAACAAAACAAAAATAAAACAACAAAACAATAAACAGAAGAATAAATACACACACTTGTAAACAATTAGAATTTTAGTACTGTATATATAGATACACTTTATGTAACAATACATTGCCTTCGAGGCCTGATCTACGTGAAAAGTTCAAAATAACTCGGTCTGGTAGAAGTGTTTGAAATTGTGTTCGAAATTTTCCAACCGTAACGGACAATACACATAGAAGTGAAGTTAAAAATAAATTCATATGCATGTTTTTTTAAGAGGTTGCTCTCCGAAAATTACTCAACAGAAAACAAACTTAGATCTTTTACTTATAACTAATTTCTCATCTGTCTATGAGAAATAGTAGTAAAGATAAAGGCTTTTGAAAAATCGAAAGTAGAATAAGTTCCACTTCCGTTTAACGGAAATCGCCAAAACTTTGACACAGAACATCAAATTTGATTTAATACTTATATATGACATTTCATTAAAATAGTTGTAACGGTACTCAAGTTATCATGTTCACAGATAGACACAGACGCACACAGACACACACACACAGACATACGGACAAAATTGCAAAACTAAGTTTTCCAAAACAGGGATGTGTAAAGCGACGAGATTTCGATTTTTCGCACGTTTGCAATACTGTCTCTATACTTCGTAAACTTGAGAGGCGTTAAAGCTAGATTGAGAAAATGTTATATATAAAAGTATTATTTAAAATTTCTTGCGCTGTATCAACTTTCCAGCGAAATCTGGAAGTTGAAGTAACTGGAAGTTGAACTTATTGTACTTTCGGTTTTTCAAAGCCTGTAATGTGACTACTGTTTCAGATAGATAGAAGAAATTTCACATATTAGTAAAATATTTAATTCGCTGTAATTTCCGTTTACCGGTAATAGTATTTTACGCTATTTCAGATTTCTCAAAAAAAAAAACGCAAATGAATTTATAAAATATTAATATTCCACACTTTTATACACACCTTGTTTGCTGTTCACTTTATGCGCTATTCTTTTTTTTACGAGATTCTATTTTAAAACGTTAAAGTAATCTATATCTCGATTTGCCATGTCGTAGTGTTTTATAAGTATATTCGAGGAAGTTTAGAGGAGATCACTCCCGCTTTATTATTTAAATAACTATAAAAACAGGGAGTCGCAAATTTTGGTAATTAATAACTAACAATTTAGCGACTTGTAAAGTCAATAATCATTGGCTGATTTATTGACTTAGATAGATAAAAGTACAAAGATATTTTTAAATACTTTAATTTTAAGTTACATTTTTTATTCAAATTATTATTTTCAGCCTGTAAGTTGTAATGGAAATAATTGAGCTTTTTATGTTTGTTTTGGACTTAATTTGCTTGGGACGTGATAGAACTGCCCTATTTAAGCGGCCCTATACATCCATCCAACAAGACTTTAATTACGGGCCCAGTGAGGTCGGCGCGGTCGTGTCAGTTAAGCTCATGGTTGCTGAACCACCGGACAGATACGTCTCGTTAGGTGGGGACAGTAACTTATCTAGGAGAGACAACTCCAAAAGCAAACAACTGCTGCCTTGTAGTTTATTCTTGGTTGGACAAAGGTTATGGAAGCAAATCCTTAAAGAAAAGCAGGCTGAAATCGAAGTCAACGGCTTTTATGGCGCATCACCAGTTGACACGTAATATTTAATTGTGTTAAAGGAAATCCCTTTCAACACTAAAATTAAGAACGAAGAAGAAAAAAGAGGACCTAATATCTAGAAATTCATTTTATTTGGTAAAAATATAAAATAATAAAAAACACATCATGATTACAGAATTAGACGTTTTGTAATTCGATATTTAGGGGTCGGCGTGGTCGAGTCGATAAAGCTCATGGTTGCTTAACCGAAAAGTCTCGAGTTCAACCCTAGGGCAGATGAGGTTCTTTAGCTGAGAAGAGCCACTTTTCTAGGAGAGACAACTCCAATCAAACAATCAACTCAAATCAAACAACTGCTGCCTTGTAGTTTGTTCTTGGTTGGACAAAGGCAATGGAAGCAAATCCAAGAAAAAAGCAGGCTAAAATCGGAGTCAATGGCGCATAACCAGTTGACACGTATCCTTAATTGTGTTGGAGGGGGATCCCTTCGTACACTAAAATACTTCCGAACTGAATACTTCCGGGATAGTAGTCATGCGCCCTAATCTACCCATCCCCTCCTCTCTCATCCGACCACGCTATACCACCAACATTTTTTTTTAAAAATGAGACATTTCTTGCAAGTAAAAAAATGTAGGATATCGTTTTTAATGATTGAAATATCAATTTTACGTTTAAAATGGACGGATTGTCTGCCCTCCTAGTCGGACCGCCTCCGTATTGCTGGGTAGTACTTTAGTGCCTAGAAATTCAATGCCGTTTAGTATCAATAAACATTTTAAATTTTTGGAGCAAACGTGTCTTTTTAATGTTTTTGTAAATACATATTACATACCCGTTTGTTGATGTTGTGTCCAACAATTATCCGTCAGATAAGCTTGTAAGTAACTGTATACACAAGAAGCAACAGCATAAGCAAGATGTCAATTTCCCACTTTTGTACATACAGTAGGCGCTTTTAAGTTTATGCTTGGCAGGAAGTAAGTAAAGTGTTGTTAAGAATTAGTATATTGTGATTGTATTATGCCGGCCCGCGCCACGTGTTGCAACTTAAGAATTTTAAGAGCATTACCGTAATCCTTAAAATTTATCATGGCTATGTAATTTAATGGTTAAATGGTGGATGTTTTAACTACTTTTTAAAAGTGCTATCTTGCCAGATATTTTTTAAAGAGATTATTGCCTTTTTATATATTTTAAATAATTGTTACTTTTTTTTACAAATGGTAATAAAACACTATAGGGCCTACTCAGCCTTGTTCTAAAATAGTATTTCGTAAAATCCATTCATCATTTTTAATACGGAACGGGCACAATATATATATATATATATATATATATATATATATATATATATATATATATATATATATATATATATATATACTTACATAAACATATATGTATATCTATGTATATATACACAAATAATAGTGTTTATGTATCTATGTTTATTTTTCATTTATGTTGGTGTATATGATATAAATAGCGCTTTTTAAAAATGTAATACTCTGTAAGACATTGTGTGCAATGCATGGGCATTGTGTATAAATAAAAAAGACGGTTTCATGAAGTTTAAAAATCTAAATATGGGCATTAAAATGAATTGCAAAATTTATAACATCTGTTGTATTTCGTTTCAAAACACAAAATTATCAAAATTATCCCAAACGGAACTTTCCTATGTGCTTACAGCATAAAACAAATCATTAGAGTCTGCCCGTATAAAGGATCCTGCACAAAACATAAAACACGAAAGTAGCATATTGTTGTATCTAAGGGGTTCTTGAAACTTTCGGGAGTGTCGAGCGCACTTGAAATTTCCTGAAGGTGGGTCAGACACTTATAAATTATTTAGATAAATTGTATATGTTCTTTGTTTAGTGTTGGGGGATGGGGATGGGGAAAGTTGAATTGGACACATACTCCCGAGAGATGCTCGTAATTGTATCTTATTTTGTTACATTGTGTAAAGTAAATGTGTTGGGGATGCGATATTCTACTATTCTATATAACAGGGCGGTGTGACTGTGTCCAAGTGGCTCGAGAGATTTTAAAAACTGGCCCCAAACCTCAGATTTAAATTTTCCATAGTGTATTTGTTTCTCTATCAAAGTCTGAATTGTACGCCTTGATATGAAGGAATATAAATAGCAAAATGTAGAAATACGAATAAATTATTAAAAAATAAAATAAAACAATAAAAATGATTTTTGGACACCATTAATGGGGGACCACAGAAATTTGTTTTGGGGACTCAACTGGATTTTTTTTCTTGGGGGCCTACCAGGATTTTCCCCGGTAGACCGGGGCAGAGCTGTTGTTGTATATCTGCAAGTCCTTATAAAACAGGGCTGTTGTTTTATATCTGCAGGTCCTTATAAAACAGGGCTGTTGTTTTATATCTGCAGGTCCTTTTAAGGCATGGCTGTTGTTGTATATCTGCAGGTCCTTTCAAGGCAGGGCTGTTGTTGTATATCGGCAGGTCCTTTTAAGGCATGGCTGTTGTTGTATATCTGCAGGTCCTTTTAAGGCAGGGCTGTTGTTGTTTATCTGCAGGTCCTTTTAAGGCAGGGCTGTTGTTGTATATCTGCAGGTCCTTTCAAGGCAAGGCTGTTGTTGTATATCTGCAGGTCCTTTAAAGGCAGGGCTGTTGTTGTATATCTGCAGTTCCTTTTAAGGCAAGGCTGTTGAAGTATAACTGAGGGTTTTACTAAGGCAAGTTTGTTATTGTATATCTGCAGGTCATACTAATGGAGGGCTATTGTATAACTGCAAGTCCTACTAAAAAGCAAGGCTGATATTGTATATCTGCAAGACTTACTAAGGCAAGGCTTTTGTTATATAGCTGCAGGTTTTTCCTCGGCAAGTTTCAAGTGCTTACTCCTGAAGAAAAATATATGCAAGTAGCCCAGGACGAAACTAAAATTATTTAATTGTATAGAACAACCTCCTCCCTCCTCTACATGTATGCCTAATCCGCCCACTACATACGTATAATAAGAATGTCATATTTACAGATAAAAATTATAAAAGTGACTTTTTTGATAGCGGAATGAATTTGTAGTTTTTACTTCCTTATTTAATTATATGATTAAAATGAGAACAGTTTTCAAATTCACTTGTTTGCACTTCTGGTTTATATACAAAGTCACGTTTTTGCATTTCTTATATATCCAACCCGGCAGCGCTCATATGCCATTTCCACACAGAGCAGCAACCAGCCCACCCCCAGACACACTCCCATTTTCCCTCCCTTATCTTTTGCAGTACCCGGCCCCATCTTTCTAGCGACGACCCACTAGCAAATGCTCAATAAAATTGTTCAGAATGCTTGAGTATAAAATGACACTTAAATTTTTTCATATCAAAGCCGCTGACACAACAAGAATAATTTTACAATATCTATATATATAAAGCAAAGTGGTCGGGTGCCCGATAGGGCACTTCCCGGCGCCGCAGGCGCGTCAAATTTGGCACGAAGGTGCCTTATGGCGATAGAACACGAGGGCCGGTGACGGTTCGGCAAAAAGTCGACGGAGAGAGGGTCAAAACAGACCTCGACTGACCGGCGCCTTATATGGGCTATATTACGAAAAAAAAATTCCTCCGATGACCCCCCTTGAAATTTTGTGAGGTAGTAGGAGAACACCTTGGGGTGTCACAAAAAACTCGGCATATCTGGGAAAACTTCGTAAAGGGGTCAAAACTGACCAGTTGTATTTCCCTATATAATCTTTGTATTTTATGGGAAAAACAGAGGGTCATTTCAACGCAGACTTTAGGATACTTAAACTCAGTATATCTGACTATTTTTTTGCATACTCTTAGTTGAATGGCTTGACCTTTAGGGAAAACTGTCGGTTTGACTCAAAGCCCTCGACGAGGGCTAAAAAGTGACCGCGAGTGAAATTCTCTTTATATGAGCTCTATTACGAAAAAAAATTTCCTCCGACGACCCCCCTTGAAATTTTGTGAGGTGGTAGGAGAACACCTTGGGGTGTCACAAAAAACTCGGCATATCTGGGAAAACTTCGTAAAGGGGTCAAAACTGACCAGTTGTATTTCCCTATATAATCTTTGTATTTTATGGGAAAAACAGAGGGTCATTTCAACGCAGACTTTAGGATACTTAAACTCAGTATATCTGACTATTTTTTTGCATACTCTTAGTTGAATGGCTTGACCTTTAGGGAAAACTGTCGGTTTGACTCAAAGCCCTCGACGAGGGCTAAAAAGTGACCGCGAGTGAAATTCTCTTTATATGAGCTCTATTACGAAAAAAAAATTCCTCCGATGACCCCCCTTGATATTTTGTAAGGTGGTAGGAGAACGCCTTGGGGTGTCACAAAAAACTCGCCATGTCCGGGAAAAATCGGGAAATGGGTCAAAACTGACCAGTCGTATTTCCCTATATAATCTTTGTATTTTATGGGAAAAACAGAGGGTCATTTAAAAACGGATTTTATGGCACTTACCCTCTTTACATCTGGCTCAGTTTTGGCATGCTTATAGGTAAATGGCTTGACCTTTAGGGAAAACTGTCGGTTACACTCAAAGCCCTCGACGAGGGCTAAAAAGTGACCGCGAGTGAAATTCTCTTTATATGAGCTCTATTACGAAAAAAAAATTCCTCCGACGACCCCCCTTGATATTTTGTAAGGTGGTAGGAGAACGCCTTGGGGTGTCACAAAAAACTCGCCATGTCCGGGAAAAATCGGGAAATGGGTCAAAACTGACCAGTCGTATTTCCCTATATAATCTTTGTATTTTATGGGAAAAACAGAGGGTCATTTCAAAACGAATTTTATGGTACTTACCCTCTTTACATCTGGCTCAGTTTTGGCATGCTTATAGGTAAATGGCTTGACCTTTAGGGAAAACTGTCGGTTACACTCAAAGCCCTCGACGAGGGCTAAAAAGTGACCGCGAGTGAAATTCTCTTTATAAGAGCTCTATTACGAAAAAAAAATTCCTCTGACGACCCCCCTTGAAATTTTGTGAGGTAGTAGGAGAACACCTTGGGGTGTCACAAAAAACTCGGCATATCTGGGAAAACTTCGTAAAGGGGTCAAAACTGACCAGTTGTATTTCCCTATATAATCTTTGTATTTTATGGGAAAAACAGAGGGTCATTTCAACGCAGACTTTAGGATACTTAAGCTCAGTATATCTGGCTAATTTTTTGCATGCTTCTAGGTCAATGGCTTGACCTGTAGGGAAAACTGTTGGTTACACTCAAAGCCCTCGACGAGGGCTAAAAAGTGACCGCGAGTGAAATTCTCTTTATATGAGCTCTATTACGAAAAAAAAATTCCTCTGACGACCCCCCTTGAAATTTTGTGAGGTAGTAGGAGAACACCTTGGGGTGTCACAAAAAACTCGGCATATCTGGGAAAACTTCGTAAAGGGGTCAAAACTGACCAGTCGTATTTCCCTATATAATCTTTGTATTTTATGGGAAAAACAGAGGGTCATTTCAAAACGGATTTTATGGCACTTACCCTCTTTACATCTGGCTCAGTTTTGGCATGCTTATAGGTAAATGGCTTGTCCTTTAGGGAAAACTGTCGGTTACACTCAAAGCCCTCGACGAGGGCTAAAATGTGACCGCGAGTGAAATTCTCTTTATAAGAGCTCTATTACGAAAAAAAAATTCCTCCGACGACCCCCCTTGAAATTTTGTGAGGTAGTAGGAGAACACCTTGGGGTGTCACAAAAAACTCGGCATATCTGGGAAAACTTCGTAAAGGGGTCAAAACTGACCAGTTGTATTTCCCTATATAATCTTTGTATTTTATGGGAAAAACAGAGGGTCATTTCAACGCAGACTTTAGGATACTTAAGCTCAGTATTTCCCTATATAATCTTTGTATTTTATGGGAAAAACAGAGGGTCA